TTTTTAGAAGCCATTGTGTTGCGTCATGGTGCACCTCGCACGTTGTTGAGTGACCGGGGCAAGGCCTTCATATCGACAATTCTGGACGAAATTCTAAAAACTTGTGGCACACTTCATAAGACCACATCCGCTTACCACCCGCAGACAAATGGGCTGACAGAGCGATTCCACCGGACTCTAATCGACATGATATCCATGTACATCGGACCGAACCACGATAATTGGGACAAAATCTTGCCGTTCGTAACATTTGCACACAACACCGTTGTTCAACGAACCACCGGGTATTCACCTTTCTTCCTCGTCTATGGTCGTGCGCCGACATTCACCATTGACGCCTCTTTCTTCAGTGTAATGACAAAAACGTCGACGACTACGCCAGAACATTTCGTCTCCAGGCTTGCTGAGGCACGGCAACGTGCTCAACTCAACACGGAGGCCAGTCAACAAGACCGCAAGCAACGCTATGACAGCTTTCGTCGAGACGTCACCTTCCGTCCTGGAGATGAAGTACTACTTTGGACGCCCGTTCGCACACCCGGATTGTGTGAAAAGTTTCAGTCTCGCTTTCTAGGACCTTACGTTGTTTGTGAACAAACATCTCCGGTCAATTACCTTGTCACTCCCGTCGAGGGTTCCTCGGACCGTCGTTACCGTGCCTCCGAGAAAGTCCACGTTTCACGTCTTAAACCCTTGCTGCGCCGTACCTTTCCCGCCTAAGTTTCGGCCGGGCCGGCCGCTCAAGTGCGCGGGGAAAATAAGTGTGAGCATTATTTATGCGTCCCATCTTTTCATCTGTACATAATCATCATCAATCATCACCAGTTAAGTTTAGGTTGTGGGGCACATACTCGAGTCAATAAAGGAGATTCTTGAGTGTTCTCGACGCCATCTTACAATATATATAATTTTACACCGTGCAGCCAACATCGCCGTTCGCCGCACGTGGCGTTTTTGTGTCGCAAGAAACGCGGTATGCGTTTCCAGCTCTACTAGCTAGCGTGCACGGTTAAAAAAAATACTGTGAAATGAACGAAACAAACGGCGTTCTCGGGGCTCGGCGTTTCACAGCGACGCCTCAAACACACATTTCCGGATGTTCTTGAGAGACGCCCAGCCAGGGAACGGTCGAGAGTGAGGCGCGAGCGGGCGAGAAAGTGGGGCGCAGCGAGGAGAGAGAGCGAACGTCGAGAGGAGCGGCGAAGCACTGCACCTGTCATTGTACCTGTCGGGCATGTCACCGTCTTATCAACACAAACGTTACACAAACGCTGCAAACGCGCTTTAAACGCACCGCACTGAGGCGGTGGCAAGTCACGTTCAAATCAAGGAGGTGGGGGCGCCAGCTGCTAGGGGCGAGGATAAGCGCATGCGCCCGTAGCTGTTGCTGACAGCTGCAGACGCCGAAGCGTGACATCATCGAGGCTCCGGTTGCGCGCGAGCCCGCCGCTGTTGCTGTGGGAGAGGGCGGCCGACGGATCCCGACGGACGCCTGACATAGCCCGACTAAGAAATGCATTCGCATACAAAAAAACAAAAATTGAGGTTATGACACGCGCATGGCGTCACTTCTTTCCCACCAGCTTAGCGTCGAGGGCACTCGCAGGGACGAGAGAAAGCGCGCGACAAATCTGTCACTCCACTGGTATTTGACGGATTCATATTCCGGCGGCCAATTCATGAGGCATTGATGCCGATCAATGGTTAGTTGGAAAGGTTCTACAGGGTCTCTTTACTATTTCAGTTTCATTGTAATCACAGCTGCAAGGACATTCTAAGAGAGAACTAGACACCAAGTACAATAATATCGTATAGCTCTTCGCAGTGAAATCGATGGAGCAGACCCTGTTCACGTTCACGGCGGTAGGTGTGTGCGAGTGGACAAGGAGAGTGATAAAAAATGTGCGAGCCGTAGCTGGAGTTGGAAGCTGAGCGATGCTTCCAGCATGTGTGCGCTCCAAGCAGAAATCGAGTTTCCTAAATGGTCCAAGTGCCAAATGTGTGCTTTTGCTCTAGCTTGCGCTGCTGATCAGTCAGGCGTTCGTAGTCGTCGCTCTATTTTCATGTTCGTCCTTGTGCGCGAGACACGATGCATGCATGTTTGGAATATTTAAAATGTGAGCATTCTCCTCCGTTAAAGCTACGGGTCTTGCATAAATGATTGCAGATGCCAAAGGCGATTTTTTTTTTTCAGCAATTACACTCTGTGAACACTTTGAAATAAGCTCTATAAACGATGCTGTCTTCAATTGCACTGAAAATGGCAAAAATTCTGCCTGCTCTGCTGACATTTAAATGCATGCCCTTTTTTCTTTTTCTGCACAGTTCGTGGCTGTCGTAATGACCTACTCGCTGATCCTTGTGCAATCTGTACGCAAGACTGATGCACCAGTGTGTTCCAGCTAATGTTCCCGAAATAGTACGTGCTGTGTATTCTATTGGACATCGCCTGGAACCTAGCGTTTGCTGCAAGAAGGTCTCAGCACACCTGACCGTTAATTAAGAACATCTATAAGTGGCTTTAGAATATCAAACTACAACACCCTGAATGCATGCCTACTGACATGACTGTCCATGTCAAATAAACGGATGCACCTAAAGCGTTTGAATGGCCCTTCCAACACAGTTCGTGTGCTAGCCTAGTAAATTTGGACACCTTAGTGATGCTAGACTTAACAAACTGAATTCATGCATCTTTATAGATTTCACAAACTATTAACTTTTCAAGTCAACTGCGTACGGATTCATAAGAAGGGACTAAAGAAGCAGCCCACAGGCAAAGCTGATCTAGTTTTTATAAAAAGTGCATATATATTTTGCCACAAATGTGCACCTGACAACAGCAATGTGCAGAGTTTCCCAGAGAATCGTCAGATTTCGCTGGTGTGACACTCATCATTGCAGGATATAAGTTCAGGATAAAATTGAGGATACAAGTGATGAGCAATGGGCGAAGAGCAATTTTCAACGCAGCCAACATTTCCCCAACTAGGACAGATCATATAGTTCAAATGTTGGCACGGGCAACATTCACAACCCGAAAAATTTCGCATCACTAGGAGCAAATGTGTTTTTCAAAAGTGCACATGGTTAACGATGAAGTTATCCTGGTTTGTTGTTAAAATATGGTAGAATCAAGAGTACTTAAATTAAGTTCTTTCCGATAAGCTTCACTGAGATCAGTCACAAACCGTGGGTGCCAACTGCTCATTGTTCGAAGAGAATGCGCACACAGGAAAACCTCGTTCATACGCTTTTTGAGAATAAAAGGTAGGATCTTAATAACATACATTTGGAATCTTCCAAAAGAAACTCAGCATTGCCTACAAGCTGAAGCACAAAGATATTCAGCATATACATAAAGGTAGTGTTTTCTCAACACCATTGTTACAACTGTTGAAAAGACCAGTGCAGGTGTAATGAGTGCAATGAATTAGAGCGAACTGTCCTTACGCCAGAGCACTTCATGGATCTACAAGCTGTATTCGAGAATTACAAGCACACTTAAACCTCATTATAACAAAGTTGCATCTTGCAAGAAAATAAGCGTGTTACATCCACAAATTCGTTATAGGGGTTATTCCTTATAATGTATCTATTGCAAGATTATTTTTCATTTACTTCGTTATTATCAATATTTCATTATATCCATCTTTGTTATATTGAGGTTTGAGTGTAGCTTGTTGAGCCAAAACTTCGACATTGGGTTGCTCTCAATTCTGGGAGCACTTGCACCAGTCCTACCAGAAAATGCGGCAAGGAACAGTGGTGCATTTAGATTACTGCCTGCTAAAAGTGCGCAGTATGCCTTCAGCAGCACCATTCCTACTATGCCCCATGTATCAAAAGGTAGACGTACAGTCGAGCACAAAAGATTACGAACCACGCGAATACGTGGCCAAAAGCCTCTTTGCTACACTTCCGCTACGTCAACGGTGGTCGACATTACCGTAGCACCCGAAAACCATTCTTCCTTTAGCCTGTGGCCTGTCTCTTTCCTGACTGGGTAGAAACAATTTTTACCTTTCACTTTTTTAACACAACACAATTTTTGGCATCTGCGTATACGCGCTTCTGCCTCAAAGCAGTCTATGAGCACAACTGTTATCAGTCGCAATCGTCATCATAAACTGACACCTAGCCAACAGAACGCCGTTTGAGACAATCGTGATAGCTTTGATCCTGCTATAAAAACAGCAATGTGACGGTAATACAGCAGATAAGCGCTTCGGGTGAAAACTGCAATTTAACAATGCGCTACACAGCAATTAGAAAATTGAAAGGCCAGTGAATAACAAGACACGCTTCCGGCCCCGCACAGTGGTCGACGGTAGATGGTGCACTGCTGGGTGGCACGAACAGGTAGTTTGGCAAGTGCTTGCGTGATTCGCAAACTTTTGTGGCCGACTGTACATGGTATCAGGATACGGGTGGCAGTGATGATGTGAATCAACAACCCACAAGGAGATGTGATGGCATCGTTTTCATGTGACAAGTGGATGAGCACTGCATGGATGCGTAACTACGGCTCTCAATCTCATGCGCCTGCCACTTTTTCTTTCTCGCATGGCATCAAGTGGCTGAAGAACGTATCACCTGGTTGTAGCCCGGCAATATATTGAAAGTTGGTGATTTAGCTTGGAAATTGGCAGGAATGTATAAGACAGTAGAAATGAATGGCAACTACCCTGGATAATTTTTCTGCGCCCTCAATTCCTACTGCTGGTGTTGGAAAATCGTGTGAAAAAGGATCATATAAACGAGGTCGCACTATACTGAGGACATTCCAAAGTACAGAACACTTGATCCCCATTTCTCTATAAAAAAAAAAAAAAAACTCAGTTCCTTCGTTCAAGGCCAGACGCATAAAACCTGTGTACATGTAAAGCAGATGTCAAAGAACTTTCGCATCACCACTGGTAACAAACAACTAAGCTGGTAATACAACAGTAAAGAGCTCAAGGAACTTTCTGTGACATTAGAAATAACTCGACAAAAGGTCCTAATGCACGTGAACTTTATTTGTAGCAATGAACGTGAGCAGCGAATAAGAAACGCTCATATCAGCGAACCTTGCTTTCAAGTTTATGTTCTATTTAGATGCCTAACCCCAAAATTTGTCATTCCTTCAATCCAAGCTACAACTGAGCCACAGCATGAAATCACTGTGCAGCCAATCTTTTACAACTTCCAATAGTGAACTCTTTGGTGTAAAAGTACAACGGCCCATAAGAGAACACCCCCCCGGCAGAAGTCTTTATGAACAATGAGGCAAAGGCAATTCACTCCTCCTAGTGATGTACCAAAGGGCTTTGTAAAAGAAAGAACAAATATGGGAGCAAAACGCTCGGGTAAGGTACAAGAAGGGCTGACATGGTTTCTTAATACAGTTAGCCAGCCAACCTCAAGGCTTGCGAGGTTCCAAACATCGTAACCAGCATCTCGCTGAAACTGCTGACATGACCCTTGGTTTGCCAGTCATCACAATAACGGTAAATCAATGTCCAACAGAAATTTCATAGAGTCTAAGAACATTGTGTTTCTAGTAGGCACCTCAGCCGTTCAACAACCTTGGAGACAAACATTGTCCGGCTTCCGCTCGCCTTCAGGGAAGTCTGGACACGTGACAAGACTTGTAAAGAACTCTTAAATTCCTTCTTGCTGACCCTACTTTTCAGTGCGGCCGCCACAGAGACATTTTGGTAGACGCGAATCAACACGGGATCTATGTGACGGTTCAAGAGCAACGCTGCCCAGTTACTGACGGTCTCCGATCCATCGCGGTCGACGTTGCGAATGCAGTGACGATACAGGTCGTGAATGCTCAACATTACTGGTCCCGCTTCTTTTTCATCGAAGCATATGTCAAAGAAGTCCGTAGAAGCAAACACCGTCGTCCTGGCCAACTTGCTCACGGTGCTGGACAAGAGGCCAGCGCAGATGTCGGTTAGGAAAACTTCTTCAGCGAAGGTATTCAATTCTCCCTTGTCAAACGGTTGTTCGTCATTCTGAAATGCAAAAAGTATTGAGTTCAGTGAATATCGCTGCAGGCTGTATTCAGTTACACCTAACAAAGAATGTCTGTTCCACCCATAGGCATAGCATGTGTCTCATACAGAGAAAATTTGAACACTGTAAAATCTCGAGCAAAATCCTCACCCTAGAATTGAAAGATAATCTGACAAATTTGGAAGGAGAGGGGGGCTTGCTTGGAAATGGAGCAATATTTGACACTGCAAAGGGACAGCCCCTAAGAATAAAAAAAAAAGCACACTTACGGCTTCTAATAAAATGTTTTATTGAGTATAGGGGCACAAGAACCAAAATAGAATTTGAAGCAATTTTCGGAGCAGCAAAATGTTACTTTTGGGACCTGAAAATCCAAATCAGGAGCGGGTTACAGAAAAAAACATTCTTTTTTTTAATCCAGAAATTGCAAATCTGGAGCAGTATAACAAAGACGGCTTACATTTAGATAAAAAAGTTAAGACATGCACAAACTATTCGATGTCATCTAAACCATGCACTGTAAACACGAGCACTGCTATTTCAATTAAAAAAAAAGCATTTTGAACCATCACATTGTGCAAACAATGGTGAAGCATTTTCAGCACCTGTAAAATCCTTGGATAAACTCCAAATTAAAATGTGGATCTGTGCAGCTGGCGACCTCAAAATTTGTGCCATTTTTACAGCAGTAACCAGTGGGAGTGACGACAAAAAAAGTTTTCTTTGTTGTTTTTAGGGCTGTAGAAATGTCATACACTACGCCAGTAATATTTTAGACATCAGTGATCATACAAGTACAATTAGTTGGCACATGCATGAATGACTAAATGTGGAGCAAAATGTGCTGTGCCCTGTGACTAGTACTAACAGCACACTCTAAATTTTTCTTTTTTCTCCTTTACAGTGGGGTTAGGTTTATTCCACAATTTCTTAACTCGTTTGCAAGATGTGTTTGACCAGATAACGTAACAACAGTGGGTGTCTGTTGGTCCGGCGAAGGCACCGAATATCTATCGGCGGGATGATGCAACTTCAAAACTAGAAAATGTTGTATGTGCTGTAGTTATGGCAAACCAACGTGTTCAGCGGCAACGACAGTCTTAGTGGCACATCCAGTTCATTCGTACACAGGAAACGCGGCAGACCCTTCCACCTCTAGTTCCTAACATGCTATAGCTGAGTTCACCCACTATAAAATTTTTAATTCCAGCAAAGCGTAGGTGGCTCCAGCAATGACTTTTTTGTCTTGAAGTTGCGTCATACCGCCTACCAGGCAACTGCTGTGGTCAGCAGATTGATGGGCAAGTGGTGTTTTACTTTATCTGGTCGATCATGTCTCGCGGATGCTCTCCACTATAGTGTACATATAACTTACACTACGGTCTAGGGTTATGGTCTGCACACCAGTACTGGACTGCAGGCGGCCAACCCAGCCTTCACTTCTTGGTGAAATTAGTGCAACTGAGAAAATTTCGAGTGTTTCCCGTCATTTAAGCACAGCGTGTTTTAGCGAATTTCATAGTTCTGGCTCCAAAAATTGAGAACTGTATCAAATTGGTGCAGCCGTTGCACACCTGTATGCATGTATTCAGCATTTCCAAAATAGTGAATAAAACTGTGAAAATGGCCGGAGAGTGGGGGGGCTGACTTTGTCATGGGCGCATATTACAAGTCTTTCTAAAGAAGGAGGGATGCTTGCTCGGGATTTTAGGGTAAGTGTGCCATCCAATAAAACTTACTCATTTTCGTGATGTCAAAGACTTCTCTAGTGTTTCATATTTTTGGGTCTCCCAAGTGTACCCACATTTGTGCCTCCGGTTTTAGGTCAGAAACTCGAACGAATGTCCTGGTAAGTTTCATCAGGGATTCTGACATTGCTGCCCAGCCAAATGTAATGTTTAAAGTAAATACAACGATTCTTTGACTCGTAACATGCGTAATATCTATATTAGCTGTGAAAAAAGTACTAATGGCTCAAGCGGAAACAAGCTAGTAGAATGGCTTTCACCAGCTGAAGGGCAGGCACGGCTCTGTGAGCGGCGCTCACATTTTTTTCCTTATTACAGTGCAGACCACTTATAACGTGGGTTTTTTCGACCACCGATATGTCGCCCATAGAACTCAATGTATAGGCCGACCGTTTATTGTGTAGGCGCACGAAGGAGAATACCGGTTATAGCGCGGAGTTTTTAGGCGCGCGACCATAAAATCGGCGAACGGAGCACGGTCGGCACAGTTTCCCGGCAGCCTTCCCGGCGTGCTGGAACATTAAGAGTGTGAGCGGGAGGGCGCACGTGGTGACCGCCGCGAAAAGTCAAACATTGCGGAGGAGAAGAGAGGGTACAGTAGGGAGGGAGTCGAGGAGAACTTGGAAGGAGGGAGCGTGTTTTCGTCACCGTGGCGACCGTGGCAGCGTCCAATCCGGGTGCGCGCTGCACGGAGTGGGGGAGAGAAGCGGTAGCATGTCTTTTTTTTTCTCAACCTTCTTCTTTTGCCTCTTTTGATTTGCTGTGTGCGCTTCGCTGTGTCGTTGCCATCTGAGAGCCCAGAGCACGTGTGTTGTGTAGCTCCTGTCGCCATGGCGTCGGCGGCATCTTCAAGCGGTGTGAAAAAACACCGTGCCTTATCGCTGGAGATTAAGGAATGCGTCATAAGGGACATTGAGTGGCCTGAAGAAGGCGTCGGTGGCGGCGAAATACGGCGTTTCCGACACGACCGTATCGACCATCTACAAAAACAAGGACAAAGTGCGGCAGCAACTGCAGCAAGATTAGTCTTCCCTGTCACGGAAGAGAATACGTACGTCAAAATACGAAGACGTGGACGCAGCGCTGTTCAGGTGGTTCCACGAAGTTAGGGCTCAGAGCAATCCAGTAAGTGGCCCCATGCTCCAACAAAAGGCCAAGTGTCTCGGAGCTCTTTTAGGCCACGACGACTTCAATCCAATCAACGGGTGGATTCAGCGTTTCAAAGATCGCCATGGCAAAGTGGTGTGCGGAGAAAGCGGCGCTGTCGACGACGAGTCTATCGAAGTCTGGCTTCGCTTGAACTTGGAGAGCATGCTGTCGACCTATACTGACAGAGACATTTATAATGCTGATGAAGCTGGTTTATTTTATAACCTTTTGCCCAACCGCACGCTTGCGCTGAAAGGCGAACCCTGCTCCGGCCGCAAGGTCTCAAAGGAGCGCATAACTGTATTGTTTTGCGCCGATTTGGACGGGAGCGAGGAGCGCTGCCTCTTTGTCATAGGTAAATCGACAAGGCCACGTTGCTTTAAAAAGCGAGAGTGCCTGCCAGTGACCTACAAAGCCAATAAACAGGCGTGGATGACGCAGGATTTGTTCACCAGCTGGCTTTGCAAGTTTGATGAGGATATGGTGGCAGAGAAGCGGCGGGTCGTGCTTAGCCTCGACAACTGCACGACCCACAACGTCAAGCTGAAGTTGACCGCAGTCAACCTAAAGTTTTTGCCTGCCAACACTACAGCAAAAAGTCAACCTCTCGACCAGGGTGTCATCGCAACCGTAAAGGCGCTGTACAAAAAGCGCATCTGCGAGAGAGTTTTGCAGAGCATGCTGCCTTTTAAAGTGAACTTAAGAGGCGCAATTGACATGGTGGTCACTTCATGGTGGCAGGTAAAGGCCGATACCATAAGCAAGTGTTTCAAGAGGGCAGGCTTTGTACGCAATGCAGAGGCTCTGGAAGACGATGAGCAGAGCGACACGTCGCTCGCCGATGAGACCCTCAACACTGACGACGTGTGGTCCTGCCTCGTTGACAGCAACTTTGTAACCGCCACCGACACTTTCCGAGAATTTGTCGATTCCGGGGAGTCGGAGCTTTCTGTCTGCGAGGAAGTGAGCACAGATGACGCGATTGTCGCAGCCGTGCGCGGTAGTGCGAAGGTTGCAACGGACGACGAGTCGAACGGTGAAGACGACGTCGACCCGACACCAGAACCAGATTTCCCGTGCAAAAATGCATTAGAATACCTCGCTAAAGTGAAAACGTACTGCGCGAAAAACAGTTTGAGCGAGAAATCGCTTCAGTGCATAAGCTTTGTGGAGGACGAAATTGTTCGCAGCGCTGTTCGCAAGCATCGCCATACGAAAATAACGGCGTTCTTCCGCTGATGCCGGACTTGAGAACTTTGTTTCCGTGCGATGTTGTGATTGTGTTGAATGTGACTGCGAGTGAAAAGTGTAGTAAATTGCTTTTGAAAGGTGGGTGGCCCTTTTGACATAGGCAAAGGCCGAGAAAAGCATGCTTTGGTTATAACGCGGTACCGCTTATAGCGTGGATTTTTACAACTCCCGTGACTTACGTTATAAGTGGTCTACACTGTACTATAACAAAGTTGAGCATACAAAAATAACAAAAAACAGGAACAAAAATGTGCTCTTACCTCAGTATCTAGAGCTGGCATCTGACTAGCTAGCATCCAGCTCACCAAACTAGGCACGGCCACAGCTGGCTCGCAGATATGTGCGAAAAGGCACAGGGCCAGCTCTAGCGGAGTCTGTTTCAAAAGCGAGGTTGCTGGAAACTCTGGATCATCTGCAAGCAAACAAGTGGAAAAGATCACACGGTGCCGGCCATGAAAGGGCCACACATTTAATTTGTGAATATGAGGAATTTTCACTACGCTGGTGCTATTGCTAAAGAGTTCTGCGAAATGCTGCAAGGTAGTGGAAGGGCTGTGGCAGGGATAAGTGACAACCATCCGTTTTTAGCTCAAAGTCTCGTGGGAAACTATACAAATTTTTCAAAAAGAAAAGCTTCAAGTTGAAGAAAAACTCGCCGTAGTCTGGGGATAGAACTTGAGAACAACACCTTTCCAGGGCAGTCACTCTACAAATAAAGCAACCAAAATAGTAGTCATTGGCAGCACAAGGGTGATTCAGTCCACTTACTAATCAGGCGGTTAATTCACACTTGTGCTGGAAATTTCTAGTACTGTGGTTAGCTATATTTGTAGAGCGGCTACCCAAACTATAGGTCCCGAATTCATGTCCAAACCAGAGCAAATTTTTCTTCAACTACAGTACAATATTGTTAAATAAAACTGGAAGAAAAAAAAAATGCTATCGGGAATTTTGTGTGCAAAAAACAAGACGTTCACAAGAACTGAAGACAGGACGAGCACAATATTAAAAATATACCCCCACTTCCCTGAAGGGAATCGTGAGGAAATGTGAATGCATTTCTTGCGCCGAGAGAGGGTACTGTTGCCGTTATACATTCACTTTCACCAACTTCTGTCATCGTCTTGATGGGGGCCCAGCCAGCGAACGGTCGAGAGTGAGGAGCTATCCGATGGGAGAGAGGGGCACCAGCGTTCTCGGCTCGGCGTTGGCATTTCACAGCGGTGTCTCGAGCAAACATTTCCGAATGTTTTTGAGAGGCGCCCAGCCAGCGAATAATCGACAGTGAGGCACGAGTGGACAGGAGAGTGGGGCACGAGAAGGAGAGAGAGCGAATGGTGAGAAAAGGAGCGGCAAAGCACTGCACCTACCCTCTCCTACACTCTCTTGCACTCCATGCTCCGGTTGCTAGGGGCGAGGATAAGCCCGCGCGCCCGCAACTGTTGCAATAGGAGAGAGAGTGAGAGGGGAGAGATCACATCTGCCGGCGCGCGGACAACGTCCGATGCCTGACATAGCCCGAGTGAGAAATGCATTCGCATTTAAAAAAGTGTTAATGAATGCAGCCGTATAGCGTTCAAGAAAACTATAAGGACATTACTAATTCCACACACAACCCAAGTTATGCATGCAGTGTGCAGTAAAAGAGCATTACTCGGGCCACTCTCTTTGTATACAGTTGGACAATGTGATCAGTATATTCAGTTGGTCTGCAACACAGCACTCATGCACACATTCATGTCTTGTTCAGTTCGAAAAACTAAAACACACTCTATTATGAAAAGTGTAGAGATAACTGTGGCTGAAGAAATGAGCCAAAGAAAGCAGCACAGCGTTGCACAGGTTGGGTAGAAGCAACGTGTCGATATCTGGCGAGCGCTTATGATGCATGTATAAAATATGGAGATTCGTTACGGTGCGAGGCTATCTGAGAAGTGTACGTAAAGTGTGCAAGGCTCTCGGTTGTGTCACGGATTGCTGTAGCGCCTTTTTACTACCAGCAAGAGACAAGCACTTGTAAAGAAATGTCAAAAGTAAAGCGCGTAGGTGCCGCAGTGTTGACATCTTTTTCATCATGATAAGAATTGCCAAAATGGCAGAGGACAGCAAGATGAAGGCTGCCTCGAAGCAGCTTGACAAGCCTCCTTGTGCCGTACAGCAAAGGCAGCAGACGGCAATGGAACGGTAGTGTTTATATAACCCACATCATATATGTATACTGAAATGCAGCACATACGAAACATACAAACACAATGGGAGCTCATTACAATGACACGCATTTGCCAAAAGATAACTTCACTACCAAAGATCTTCCAATATAAACATACACCTGCTGAATTCCTAATTCTATTAGTAGTAATGCAGTTTTCTATTTAGCTTCTGAAATGGAATGACTTGTTCTATATCTGCGTTTATTATGTTGGAGTTCAACTGAACACACAGACCAGCACATCAGAAAGAGAAAAACAAAACAAAAAAAGGGAAAACATAAAAACCTGATAAAAAGCACATTGAAACATTTATTACATTGTTTACATTAAAACATAGTTAGCGTGGGTGAAAGAGAGCAGTAAACGCTTAAGGGGAGATGCGAATCGAGAAACTCATGTTTTTTCCAAAATTATATTTTTTGTTTTCATTTGCTTTCACAAGTATAGTTTCTCTACTTTCACAACAAAAACAAAAGAATCGTGAAAACTGCAATTAAACTCGAAGTAGGTTGGAATCCCTTTTAAAGAGCACAAGGTGGCGACAGAAAACCAAATGGAGCTCATTGTCCAGAGTCCCCTGGAAATGGTCACCTAGCTGCTTGCCATTGCACTTTGCATAAGGAGTTCACTAAAGCCACATGCTCAAAATGAACCATCTATGCCAATCTCTCATGATGGGAGAAATCGTCTTAAAAAATGTATCTTTTCAACATAGTAGATGAGCTCTCACTTATACCTCTAAAATGCATTTTTCTCAAGATCCATTCTTGAGCGACTTCTCGAGTCTGCACACCATGTTTTTGCATCTATGATAGCAGGACTGGGATGAACTTTCCGCCCACATATTTCTTGACATGTCAAGGGTGCAAATATCTCCTTTAAAACTTGATATGACCTGTATAACTATGACGAACCTAAATTCACAATTACTATGGGCTGACGATTCTAAGAATTGTCACATTACAATTTTCCTTGCCCATCAAAACGTCTAATAGTACTCACTTTCTTTGTAGCTATTTGCATTCTACTGTTAATGTAGAGTAATATGATTCATGGCATAAAATTAAAATTGTGCAACTTACTGTAAAACAAATTACATATTTGAAATCAGCATAAAAGCCCATATATACAGCAAAAATTTCATTGCCCTAAGCGACAGATTAATGCAGCTACTTTTTTTAATCGCATCTCCTCTTAAAGGGCCAGTAAACAAGCCCCGACCTTTTTTTACACCCCCCATACAAGCTCGGCAATTCGTAGATTAGACCGCAGCGATCACGTTTTCTGAATATTAGAGCGCTGCGGGTCGCGCAGGGCCTCTATTTCGAAAAACAATTCTCGCGCATCTTTCCTACCCTTGACCGACCCCCTTGCACGCGCAGTGACGTCAACTCGGCGATCGGCGACGTGACGTAGCACGCAGCTCGTCAAAGCAGCTTGTCAATTGGTCTAAATCAGGTGTGAAAAAACGGTAGTGAAGTCAACGTCAGTTCCTGTTCCCATCCACAGCTACGAAACTGCCCTTGTTTCTTGGCACTGCGGTGAAAGAACCAGCCTCGCAGTTGTCGCGCGCACGTGTACACTATTCACTCAACTACAGCGCCTGTGCGCACTGTTGTGGATCCCACCGCTGCCACCAGTTGTCGTGGATCCCAGCGCTGTACTCCAGTAGTCGCTTCAAATCCCAGCGCTGATCACCAGTTGTTGCGAACCGGGGTCTGCCCGGTCTTTTGTGGTAGCGTGGTGTAGCTTCGGGTTGAGGAAACGAACACTCACAAGATGGGGATACGAAAACAGGTTTATGGCACTATTTACACTTATTTACAGCATAGAAAAGTTGAGAGTTTCACAAACCACGAGCGTGGTGGTTGAACCGTTACACGATTCAGAGCGACGTCCCGCACTCAGCGGCGTCGTTATAAGCCCTGTCGGGCTCCTCCTTCTTGAGTGGAACACCAATCACACACACACAACAGGCGAGGGGTACGAGCATGCACGGCCCACGTGAACATCCAATATTGAGTCGTGATCACTGCACTGCAAGGTAGCTCCAGCGGGGGGCTCTTTCTCGTGGTGTGTGCTGCTGTTCGAGGGGTCCCAAGCTCCTGACAGCATACATCAAACGGTCCGCCGATAGGTTCGCTCAATTAGCACGGCAATTTGTGGCGGCGGCCGCAGTTTCTTCCAAGGAAGATGCTGTCTTTGTTGTCCTCTCTGGAATGGCTTACGGCATCGTGGCGACACGATGTCTCATCCTCCGGCTAGCAGGGACAATACCTGGCGGGCATAGGCAGCCGGCTAGTCGGCTACTTGTTTGAGGATTGAAAGAGCGCCGCTCCCCCGTCAGCTCTGGACGCTGCTTCCGAGAGAACTGGTGTTCCAGGCGTGGGAACGCTGCCCGGCTACGCTTCTCAGCGACAGCGTGGTGCCTACTGACGATGGTCATAACAGCACGTACGAACGTAGTTCGCCCTTGACATGAGCAACACGGGTAAAAAGCGTTGCTCTGTCATCGGCTGCAAATCGAGCGACTGGGCAGCGGAGAAGCATCTGCACTGGGTGCCTCACGATGGGGCCCTGCGCGCTGCATGGCTGAAGTGAATCGGCCATCTAGCGACGTACGTCGGGGACCTGATCGTTTGTGGTTGCACCTAACGTTTACACGGTTGACCTGCGGCTGGTGCGGCGAACCGTAAACAAATAACCACGCTTCGCAGCAAGCGGAAGTGTGTTGCGACTGATCGAGTTCACCGATGATGTCAATCGCTGACGTGTTCTCACGTTTCCGAAGTGGGCGGAGTCACGACGATGGGCTTCGTCATGGAAGGAAGAAGGGGGGCGAGGCCGCGCGAAAATTTGAAACCAGTTTAGACCTATGTTCTAACCGCTGTAACTTCCTTAATATAGCACATATTCGCAAAATTCTTGTAGCAGCATGTTCACAAAGAAAAACTGCACATATATCTCTTTTTAAAACATTTTGGACCTCAGGGCTGTTTACTGGCCCTTTAAAACCAATTGGTACATGGTTGTCTTAAGGTGAATTTCTCTCCTTGTGGTGAATAATGTTCTAATATTGGGGGCTAAAACCAGTAAAAGTAAAATTTCTCGCACTGAGACTGAAACACATCGATAGCAGAATGCATTGTTATACTTGAAAGTATGCTGCATAGCGATTTGGTGAAATGTATGCAGAATAAACGCGAATCTCATCTACAGGCTTAGTAGAGACTATGGTGGCAATTTAAACTACATGTTTTTTCAAACCCCATTTTAATTACCTTTTTCAATTAAATTTATGTCGTGTTTCAGTATGTAAATACCAGGACTTTTCTTGGCGTCTAGTTTAGATAGCCGGTAAAAGTATGTCGACTGCCTTCAGGCACACATACACGAAATCGCCAACACAGCAGAGAATAGACGAGTATATCTGCTGAGAAATTTTGAGTGAGAAATTTGTGTTACTGAGCAGAGTGATGAGTTTGGTGACAGCCTTCACAGCCCCATCCCTCACGCTAGATTCGTCGTCCTGAAGGAAGTTGATGAGTGCCCACCAGAATGACACGATGGTACCACCTAAAAAAGAGGGAGGGGGGAAAGAAAAGGAAGTTAGTCACTTCTATGCCATGAAACCCATCGGACAGCAAGCTGTAAGTCCACGAGTGTACATGATTGGCAGCGAGAACGCTGCCAATCCATTGCTTGATTAGAAATACATGTGCTTATGCTTGATTGGGTAAAACACTATCACGTGACCTGGGGGCCGTAACTAACGAAATTAATCGAAATGTGCATTGCTCTACGGTATTTGGTACCGAAATTTGTCATCATCAAATATAATAATTTCGGGTGTTATCATTTGATTTGGTTTATTTACTCACTACACCCTCTGGTCACATGACCTGTGTGACTACTACTACTACTACTACTACTACTACTACTACTACTACTACTACTACTACTACTACTACTACAGTTAAACCTGGATATAACGAAACTAATAAATTCCCGGGAAAATTCGTTATAAAAAGGATTTCGTTATATACATGTTCGGCACAAAAATTAGAAAAGATAAACGCACAAATTAAACAAAAGGGGGACTGAAGGCAGAGCTAACCCAAAACTCTTGGTTTATAGTAAAAAACTGCATTATTATTGCGATAGCAATTATATGGACACTCTTGGCGGGTTTTTGCTGTCGCCGCCATGTTCCGTAACAAGTCCAATTTAATATCATGCCTCTGCGCATCCCAACTTTCAGGAGCGGGTAAAAGCGCACGGGCGCTGCTGAAGCAGAGATAAAATGAGTCGGCCCATCCATAACGCCTGGAAAGTGCATAACATCTCCCGCGTGTTAGAACTGCCGTCGAATGTTCATACAGAAAGTAAACCACCCGTCTTGAACGAGCATGAAACAACGCGGGGTGGGGGTGGGGGGTGGGTGCTCGAGTAGCAATAATGCTATCTGGACGAGTATCAGTGCTGTTTAAACGCGAAAAGACTGTATGAAACGAGCACTTCTCCCTGGAGCGGCCGTATTTGCTAACACCAGCGTTTTGTACGGGTTCCTTGATATCGGATCCAAAAGAGTTGGCTGCCAGCCTTCTTACAACATTACAATTTTTCGCTATAGTGTTCATTGCATTGCATTAAATTCACCGTCATGTTGCCAGAACTAATCGGCTAATTGCGAAAGCTACCAGCCTGCGAACTCGCGGCGCGGCACGAAAACGAAAGTGCGTGACGAGTCGACCTCTGAAATCCGTCGTCACCGTGGTCTGCCGAGAGTTTCCATCAGGCGCCTAATCTGACATTCCCCTCGGTTGTGACGACACGGTTGTCCGAATATAAGGAAAGAAAAGTCACAGCTTTGCCGCAAGGACCAAGCAATGAATGCGATAGCAACAACTTGGAATGTAACGATGAGAACGACAAGCAGATCGAAACGTGCAGCGCGCTACTTCACGCACAAATGACGCACGAAAACAACAGTGCACAGGACTGAGAACAAACTAACGACGTTTACCGCTCGAGCCTTAACAAGCTGTTTAAACAAAAATAAGGCACGAAACAGTAATCACAGGTACAGGTGTGAGTGCGTACTAACAAGTGCCCCGAGTTGTTACTTCGCTGCGTTTGAAAAGCGCATGCACTCTTTTCACAAACGGCGCTTGCCCAGCGAGCGAAGAGATCTTTGTGCGCCCGGCAACTAAACGCAATCATTCCGGTCAAAGTCGAAGGCACGCGATTCTCCCCACTGAGTGATAAACGCACACGCATCTAACCCCCCCCTCGTGGGGCAAAGTACACGTAAGAGATAAGCGCGCATCGCCGCATCGTGACGAGCTGGGTGCCGAGCACGGGCGGCTTTTTTTTTTCTTTCTTGATTTTTCATTTGTGTGTGTGTGTGTGTGTGTGTGTGTGTGTGTGTGTGTGTGTGTGTGTGTGTACGGTGAATGACGGCGACGGCGGCAAAAAAAATTCCAGCGACAACTGTCCATGTAATTGCTATCACAATAAAAAAACAAAACAAAGCTAAACGTCGTCGGGGCCACACTATGTGCACGTAGTGAAACTATGCACGTGCGCACGGTATCAAAAACAAAGAGCGAACGACACGGACACAGACACCCCGCAAAAATATTTGGTAAAGCGCCCTTCATAAGCAACGCGGCCTCAGATATGTGACACTAACTAAAAGCTTGGCACTGCCAATACACAAAAGTAGTTTTCTTGTTTTTTGTTTAGATTTTGGTTTGGAGTTGGAGAAGGGGGGGGCACACCCGCACACGCACCCATGCCGGATCGTGGGGTGCAGGCCCGCTTGCCCACACCCGCACGAGGGGGTGGTTAGAGCGAGCGCTCGCTCTCATCTGGTGCGCCATGCGTGCCGCCGCCGCTTCACCCTTGGTCGACGGCGGGGCAGCCACGAAAGATGCACGCTCGTACAAAAATGCCAAAATGCAGAGCGAAATTTCTAGATTGTCCGTGGGGAAAATTCGTTATATCAAGGTTGTCTCCCACTGTTACTTTGCTACATAGAGGTTGAAAATGCATGTGCTTCTATGGAGAAATGGCAAGGAATAGTAAAACTTCTATTGTATTGAGGAATTCGTTATATGGAGATTCGTTATAAACAAGTTTAACTATACTACTACTACTACTACTACTACTACTACTACTACTACTACTACTACTACTGCACAGGGTAAATTAAGACACTTGCTGTAAAGAAGAAAATCAACTCTTCATGAAAAAGATCCCTTAACACAACTGTCACAGCCACAATGAGGTTTGAATACACTGCCACAGACTGAGCTATAATTTGTGGGCACGATTACATCCACTGATAAAGCATTTTCACTACATGACACATGAGATTCCAGTAGGCCAGTTTCTCCATAAATCACAAACCAAGAGTGAATTTCATTGGTAGATTCGAAGCACTTCGGGTACCAATATTTCTGCTCCAAGCAGAGCAAGCCTGTTCCATTGGCAGATCTGGGATAGCTCTGCCACCAGATCCACTCCCTGTAGCAGCCTTCTCTGCCCTGGAAGCAGCAGATTCAACAGGAAGACGCAAGTGCCTCACATGTGCGCACAGCGTGGCGTACTATCTGACTGACACGTGTTGCTAGAGTGCGCCCATTCTCTCCCCACATGCGTGCGAAGGCAAAAACAGCACGAAACACGAGAAGTGCTGGGCTGTTTTAGAGGCAGGAGCGTTAGCGCCCCATACTATTTGCTGTCTGCAGATATACGCAGCCAAGCAGTCATCTGCAGATATCTGTACGGCTGCGGGTGTTTGAACCACATGGAGTGACAGCAGTACAAGCGCGTCATGCTGCCGTTTGAAAGTTCGCCGCCGCCACATTGTGGGAGGCCGCTGTTGTTTTGCTACCAAAATGCGTGCCTTCGTCGTGTTGAATGAACAGGCTACTCAGCACACCTGAGCACAATCCGGAATGAAGCGTGCCCGAAAAACGCACCAACGTGTGAACAGATTAGACCGCAAACGGCTTGTGCAACAGCAAGAGCAGAGTAAGCGACATACTGCACGCAACTAGCCAGGAACAATTGTTTCTACGTGGAGGTACCACACCTAACAATTCAACAACCCGAGTTCCTTGCGAAGTAGTTTAATTCACTCCTGAGCACAGAGTTGTTAACATGGGAAAGGCCCTACTTCTCACCAGAGGGGCTGTGAGCACTTTTTAGTAAAAATACACAGAAAGAAAAAAAAACAGTTTGGTCGCTAAGAGCACGTTTTTAAGGGTCTATATACAATGACCTACTGATATGACGACTACTTCTTGCGGCACTTTAGAGTTCGTTATTAACGAGTTCAACTGTATTATATTGTATGTTACGGCAGTGAGCAAAAAACAATGCTCAACAAGTCACCTCCATAATTACACCACTTACCAGACTGGTGGGCTGCTACGACAACTTGAGCAAGAGTGGACATGGCTCCACTGGCCATAAGCCTCCTAGACAGATCCTCTGTTGGTTCCGACAGGTCGAGCAGTTGTATGCTCCACCGTAGGATTATTGGATGCTTCCAAAGGTTCCTGCTGCAAAACGGCAGCACCAGTAGATCAAATGAAAAAAAAGAAAGTTAAAATAACACAAACTGTTGTCGCAAACATGCACTGAAACTCGGCTGCCTTGCATGAAAACGAGAAAAGAGAGCACCTAACAGAAACAATGAAGCGGCAATTCTAGTGATGTAACGGTTCTTTCTGGTGTGCCTAGACGGAGAAGCCGTCGGCCACAAGAGGCACTTACATTCTTCAAGACGATCAGCTGCTCAGCAGTGCTGCATACGAACTCCAGAAGAGAACGCTTGGTCGGCTCGCTGTTTTAGGGAAAAAAAAAGCAGTCTGTCAAATGTGCTCAATACTGGGTAGCGGAAATACATAAACTTGAACAAAGACTGCCTTCCAGCCAGCTCGGCTTAAAGGAATAAAAAATAAAGAAGACTTGAAGGCACGTTCACTACAGTGTATAGCTTTAAATGCTTTTAACAAAAACACCACCCCGCATCTCCTCATTCAGGCCTGGACAGTGCCCTTAACTTTTTTTCTAGTAAGGGACGCATAAGTTGGGGAGATTTGCTGTATGACCAAACCTAATTAAACTAAACAGCCTTGCTTAGTTTTTCATGGCGATTCCAAGTACGCAATAGTTTTTCTTGTAGGTCATACAGTTTAAGACGTGGACAAACCTGCATCTTTACTTTTTCCAGGGGCAGTAGAAAAAAATAGGCATTGATAAGAAAGTGAAAATAGGATAGCTAGATACTCTAAAGTGCCATAAACCAAATATCGCAGGCTGTTTTCAGGTTGAATCATAACTAGTCATTCTGTAAATCACGAGTTTTCGAACTTGCTGGCCTTGGGAAACCCCAATGACTTTTTGAGAGTGCCGTGGAACCCCCACAACTTTTTTGGAGGGGAGCAGGTCATAACACTTTTCGATGTGCGCAACCACAGTATTAGCAGTGATCATACTGGTCTCTTTTTTTTTTTTCTTCTTTCCATATTGAGGCCATCTCCGTTATTGTAGAACTACCATCAATGACTTGCGATTCCCCAGCGTCTCTTCATGAGTCGCATACATCTCCCACAGACCAACACACTGCACGCTGCATCACCAACACACTGCAATGTATTCACACAAACAAAGCGACTGACATACAAAGGCCTGTATTATTTATTTTAAATTTTTTTTGCAAAATAAAAATAGAGGCATGCCGTCGAGCATTACACCAGCCATAAAGCTAAGCCTAAATGCCTTTGTATCCCACAGGCGGCCCGAAGCAACGCCTTCTACATCAAAGCACTCTTGATCACTTGGATAACAAAACAGACACAAAGCCATGGCAAATCAATCAGTATGAAGATTGCAAAACATGACTGCGACACTCCATGAGCCACAAATTATGTGTCGAAGTGCCCGTTAACATCATTTGAAAAAGTTTGAACCCTCACGAGCACGAATGACTAGCGCTGCGGCGCAAGTTCTGTCACCACACGTATGCAAATCATGCAAGTTTCATGGCACACACTTGTGCAGCTACCACGCGAGTCTCTCGCTACCCGCAGACACCTGACGTGCGGATGCGGCGTGCAATGGCTTTGTTAAATTCAGAATTCAATGCGAATTTGCTTGTCTATAGGAACAAATTAGTTGCTAATGGGAGTAAAATGGGAGCGGGTTGCATTTGTTTCACAGAACACCTGGCTTCCACAGAACTCTCTTTGAGAACACATGCTGTAGGTGATCAAACTTGAATGTTTTATATGACTACTATAAAGAAATAGGAAAATGAATGCTAAAATGTACGTAGAATATTAGAAATCTTCTCTGTAAAATGCACATTGCATTTTTGTTATAAAAAGTACTATAGCTTTAGCTGCTCTTGATCACGAGTTATCAATCCGACAAATATATCACAATTAGCTTGTACACTTTGCAGAAACGATGAAATGCTGAATATTATAAGAATAAAATTTGACTTTTCGTTCATGTGGAATAGGTGCAAATTTCAATTATACAATCATTACAGTGAATGTACTGCCATGTCATTTGGTGTTGAGAAAATTAGTGCTCAATGATGCTTTTTCTTAAATCTTACTGTCTTGCTACACTACAATGTAAGTTGCAACGTAAATTAGTTTATTAAAAACACTCACTTTTTGATGTTCTCATACCGGTCAAGGAGATAGGAGAGCACCTGCAAATTAAGTTTGTGTTAGCAAGGACAATAAAAATGTTGACGCAAATAAAAGTTTAGTATTCTGGAGTGTATAGGGAAAGACTAGAGATGACAAATGAAAAGGATGGAAAAAAAATATTGCAAGAAGATATGCCATGCCACAAATTCACTTCAATGCCTTTCAATATCAAATATGCGTAGGGCAATCTCGGAACACTCACATCTTCAAATGTAGACCTCCCCTGCCAGTCGAGCTTCTCCATAAACGGGCCATTACAGGCAGTAAGCACTGAACATGCCTGAAACAAAAGTCAACAAAAAAAGAATCTGAGCAACACACCCCCCTTCACTGAAATAACCAACACCATTGTAAATGAAAGGCTTCCATATTTTGACATGTTAGTTTGTCTCAATCAACAAACGAAATATCTGTATCATGCACAAAAAAGAAAAATGGACTACAATGATAGATATTTTACAATGATTCAACAAGTGCAAAAAAGTTTCCTTCCTTAAAAAAATTTTATGCTCTTTTAGATGGGTGTCGATTCCCTGACTTGTTTGCCCTATGTACACATTCGAACAGGTTAGTGTTATCTGGTAAACAACATGACGGCTACATTTTCGTTATCTTGAGTCAAACTTGTTTGTCTCTCTTCTTTGTGTCCTTGTCAACTATGCGTTCCTGACCTACCAACCCGCCCATATAACAGTTACCTCGGCTGCAGTTACCTCTGCAAAGCATGCCATGTACTGCTGGTGTTCTCCTGGCCCATCGCAGACGGTGCGGATAATGCGGTTGAGGACCAGTTGAGCCATCCGATCGAGGTCCATACTGGTTGACAAGACACAGCTGTTGCACAGCTGCAAGACCGATGTACGCCTCACGAACTTCAGCGTCATCCAGCGGGCCTCGAGCGACGTGGAAGACAGCGACCGGAGCACGAAGCCGAAGTATCCGTCCGGTCCAGGAAACAGATCAGGGCCAGCGCAGGCCCAGTTCAAGAAGGAAGTCCTGGCGAGTGGTGATAAGAAACTCCTGTCCCGGTTCCCTCCGGTGGATCCCGGGGCATCTCTGGTCCGCCGGGGGTTCCAGTAGCACAGCTGCTATCAGCTTGTATGGCAGTGTGCCTTTTCGAAAAAAAAAAAAAAGCAGACAAAATGGCTACGAGTTTAGAAAAAAACGCCAGGCCTATGCAGAACATGCAGCGCAGTCACAGAGCTGAAAGAGTGGCCTTTCTGAGGCCCTTTGTAAACCCTCTTGAAGGGACTACAGCAAGTACAGTTACAAGATACCCAGTACACCATGTACTATTATATTTTTATGAAGTAAGGTAGTACCCATTATGCTATTTATTCAACATTCTGCAGAGTACCAAGATGCCCACCACGCATCTGTAAAGCATTACGTGCACTTTGTTGACACCGTGGCCGACGATGAATTAGGGCTGAGCTCTTTTCCATAGGTCGGAAGCTTTAAATCATCAACTCATTATGCAATTCACATTTTGTGACGCCTAGTTGTTATTTTGCTCTTCTATCATGCTATATACAATTGAATCCCTTTGTAAGAGACACCGATATAAGAGACAAATGAGTATAGGAGACATCAGTGTGCCTACACTAAAATACGGGTTGATAAGAAAACGCATATGTGGTACCCTGCTTATAAGAGACATCTCATATAAAAGACAAGGACTGCTGCCCGGAGCATGCCTCTTATGAATGTGTTTAACTGTAGTAGACATGTAAATGTGATTCCATCCCAGACATGACACCTATATAGGGCCTCTTTGTGAAGGAGGCTCGAGCACCTGCGTAGCTTCATGGAAGAATACCCGAATGCCACGTTACACGGACTGGGTGCCGATTCCGTTCGATTCTGTTTATTATTATTTTCTCTCATTGTGCGCAAAAGCATTTACGAATAGCTGCAGTCGCAGCGAACAACTATGCGACCCCAATCAGCTTTTATCATGATCCCATGACAGCTTTCACTGCAAAACTTACTCATGCCCACTATACGTCATAGAAGAAAGCTATAAAATGAAACTGTTCTTTGAATTCTAAAACGAGTGCTTGTTGGCAATCAACTCATGAGCAGCATGAATAGTAAAACAGGAATTCATCGTTTTCTCATCTTCTGAGTGTAACACTCTTTCATCAAAACAAACCCGCATATGTTGAACACACAAATACAAAATTGCTGTCTTCACTGAAAAGTTGTGATTGTTCCATGATAATATTTTCGATACTTAACACTTTTTATATATCGAATAAGTTTATATAGAAAACCATTTGGTGACCCCTTCAAATTCAATATAACCAACTTTGATTGTAGAAGGCATCACAGGAGAGAATGAACACACAAGATCAATACTAAAAGGTCAACCTAACTTATACCGCCGCCACACAGGCACAAGAAATCACACCTAGCAGTTAACCTTAAAATTCCTGAATAACATTTTTTTTTCTGTTATATCTGAATTTAAAGGGGCCCTGCAACACTTTTTTTTAGCATGGTCAGAAAATGCTGCCAATTTGTAGTAGATGCTCCTGAGAACTTGCGAGCCAAATATTATAGCACAGCATGCAGCCTGCGATTCCCAGTGAATACTTACTCAGCTAAAGATTGCCTTCTCTCAACAAATGACACTAGAAGCTCAGAAATCAGTCGTCGCAGCCATTGTATCAGCCATTGGCTGTTTAGGGCATGGCGCGCTCTGTTGTTACCAGGGCTGCAGCGGGAGACCATGACTTGTCCATGCGTGTGTGCGTGCATGATCGCGCTGAAAAGTCGCTTATTAAAGGGGGAAAAAAAGGGGGGGAGAGAAAAAGTGCTCAAGGTCACGAGGCGTGCGTGACGTATTTTCTTTCCCCATGTTGTACCTCCCTGCTTAGCTTCCAGTGCTTTCGTTGAGACCAGAGAAGAGAGAATGCAATCACAGCGTGCGACAAATTTTTGTAACTCCACTCGTATTGAACAGATTTTAAACATTTTAGCGGCGGTGAATTAGAGGCAACAAGCTCCCTTAAAAAATTCATTCAAGGGCTACTTGTGTTGCAGGGCCACTTTAATGGCACTTGACGGGCTGACAGTGACAACAGTAACTTTTGAAAGGAGCATTCTTAAGGTACTAAAACTAAAAAAAGTAACAAGATATAAACATGCATTTTTCAGAAGTCTTATCTACATTTGGCACTAGAAATATGTAAACATAAGCGTACTATGCTGTCATTAGCTTGAGTCTGTAGCCTTCTTTTACAACACTGCAGCCAACCATTGACACATAGCACCTTTCATGACAAAGCCGTAGCAATGCTAAATTGAATGTCGCCGAGTGCAATTAGGGAATGATGACAATAGGTTTGTTAAAGGTAAATATAAAACGAGTTTCACACAATAAAGACTATTTAAAATGTTTCACACAAACTGAACTGTGCAAACTGTGGCACTAAGAGTACATGTTTTGCAGGCATTCAATGATTTCTGGCAAACTCATGAAGCCGCAAATGGTATTATGGCAAATGACATGAAGCTAATGCGACTTTCTGTGCCTATGGGGTACAGGTATTAAAGGCACAGTCCTACCAATTTGATTTCGTGCACTGCAGCTGCATTGCTAAATGTGTGGATGAGCAACTTACGGGCAGCAGGAAAAATAGCAAATAAATTCGTGAAATCATGTTGTCTTCTCTTCTGCCAATGTCCAGCACTCCCCCCCCAATAAATTTCACAGTCTACCAGGGTAAGTTTTCCATCTTTTTAAATGTCTGAAACGCAGCCCTTCCGGCCATATTATTGTGACACACAAAACAAAAGACAATCGGTGGTAAGACATTCACAGCCGTTCATGAATGGTGTCACCTGCACCGAATTGTACCGCCTACAGTAGCTGTCTCCTGATAAGGAATCTCACATACTACATCAACCGTACCACACAATATGTATATTACTCTACCTTTGCATTGACTGTCGGGAAGGCAATGGGAAATGCAAGGAAACAACTTACCCAGCTGGCTGGGTTCTGAAAGACATTGCAGCCAGGACAAAACGACGTCCAGATACGCTGCCCTTGACACAAAGCACTTGTTCATTCTGAAAGAGAACAAAATAGGCAATATGCTGCGCTATCCACAACAGTGAATTGCTGCACTAACCCAAACCTAAAGTGCAAGGAACTCTCGGGAATTCAAACTCCGAAATTTCATACACAGAGTGATGTTTGTCTTTTAGAAAAAGATTTTAATTTATATCATATACAAATCAATTCTTCACACTAAGTATTTGATAGCCTGCTAAAAGCAAAAACATAATTCTTTTGTTCTTATCTGAGGTAATTTTATGCGAAGCTATTTTTGGACGATCTACGCCGGCCCCGGGACATCAAGGCCCACTATTCATGACTCCAACTCCCACGACACCCACTACTGCTCCTGTCACTCCAACTTCATTCACCCGCTTCACCCACTGCATTCACCCAGCTAAAATAATTGGCAAAACAAAAGATTCTTTGCGAGCCAACAGCTTCGCCATTTTATCGGTGCCCGCTACATGCAGATGGTTGATATTTTGAGGTAATTAAGATATTATAAAAACCAATTTGCCCAATTTTCTTAACTTTCCCAATTTATTGGGAAACTTTATCAATTATTCTTGAACGAATTGATATCAGCATATTTTAGAACAATCAAGGATTTCAACTACACTATTTTTTGCTGGCCTGCTATGTTTTCAATGCGTTTATAGGGTACTCGATCAAAGCTGCATCGCTTGGCTTATTCTGTTGATTCATACTTTTTGCCTATCCATACAGGAAATATTTGCTGTCTTTGTCCCTTCTAGATGAACATTCGCATTTGTATATTTTAAGTGTCGGAAAGAAAGCCGATAGTCATAGGTCTGCACTTATCATAAAGCAGCAACAGACGTGATGATTTGTCATCCCTACTACTTCTGGCATGTTACACTGAGTCAAGCTTAACCTTGCACCTGATGATTGAAACGTCATGTACAGTAGACCCCCAGTAAACAGAAATGTGTTAAATGCAACTGCTGCTTTAATGGAACAAACACTTTTGACATGATTAGTTTCGTAGCTGTATTCTGCATTGTTGCTTCTCTCAGTAAATGGAACTCCTGGTAAATGGACATCTTTTCCTGGTCCCTTCAGGTTGCGTTCAATGAGAGACTACTGTATTTCAAACAAAATTTTGGTATCCCCTAGAGTTCTGAATTACTGAAAGTCTACTATGCCCAGTCAAATAAGAGCCCACCACGGACACAGAAAACAATTTAGGAGCCTCAGGCTATAACTTACGAGCTGGCCAGCCAGACTTTTTCTTCAAGCTTGGTCGAGAACAGCGCAGCAAAGGATGGCTCCATGCAAGACTGCCTCGTGTAGCCTATCACTTGCAGCACCTACACAAAAAAGCAAGAGACTTTGCACACGAATTTCTGAAATTTGTGGTAAGGGTTATGTGTGTGACAATATAGCATAGAATGATAGGAAGCTGAGCTAGTTGGTAGGGGCTCGTCACAAACGATGAAAGGGATGCAAATCAGGCACAAGAGAAGTCAGGACAATGCAAACGCTGCTCAAGATGCCCAGACTTCTCTCTCATGCCCGTGTTTGCAAGTATAGTAACGTTTATGAGTGACTATACTACAGTAGAACGCTGCTACAACAAATGCCGGTTCAAAAAATTTTCCACTACAATGAAAAATTCTCAGTTCCCCGTCGGCAGCAAGTAGGAGTCAATGCATAAATATTCTTGCCACAACGAGCACTTCTTCTTCTGCCATCCCTCTTTAATGAAATTAGACGGTGCGATTCCAGGCTCAGATATTTAATGCTATGCAGTAAACACAATCTTTAAAATTTTGATGGATCTTCAGAACCTTAAAATACGTCGACGAAGTCTAAAAAACACATTGGCACAACCAGAAACCGCCGCTGTTTACCAAGCATGGGTGCTGCCATTGCTCGACAGCGATGGCAATGAGACTGCCCTGCTTTTGCCACTGGCTTGCTTTTGAGCCGCAGGCGATCCAAAGCTGAAGCTCAGTCGCTCTGGGGTGCTATTTTGCACACTGTCTAATTACACCATATTGTCAAATTTCGTAATGGCGGAATTTTAAGCCAATCAGAGAGGTCATAGCAGCCCACTTGGCCAATTAGCATCGATCAATGGCAGGAATCTGACATGGCGGAGTTTGACAATATCCAGAATAGCACCCCAGCTCATGGTTTCTTTCATGCAGCTGCCGAGTGCAATCGCGGAACGATGCCTTTTCCGATTCCGATGCTTATCATTCTGTTTGCACTTGGCCAGTTTGGTAACTAATCAGAGCAGCTGTTTGTCTGCATTATAAACAAAATCAGCCAGCCGCAAGTGATGGATAATAGGAATAGCATAGAATAAGGCAAAAGTCACCGCTGTACGATACCCCACCTTCATCTCGGCGTTGTTGCATACACTTTGATGGTGGACAGCTGCTGGTGTTAACATGCTAATGCAACTAACTGTTAGGTTCGTTCATGAAAGCCGTTGTGGCCATTGTTTCAGCATGCTTTTCACCATGGCGTCGCAGTAGCATGAGTGAGAATCACATCTGTGATGCTCTAGGAAAAGAATAGGAAGCAGCCAACACTTTTTGTGTTATGGGAATGAAAGTTTGTTTGTTTGTTGTTTGGCTAGCTCAGATCAGCTATAATTTTTCGATTTCACTACAATGAAATTTTCGCTTCCAACAAAATTTTTTCCTCACCCCATCAGTTTTGTTGTAGCGCAGGTTCGACTGTATGACGCTTATTTTTGTCTACAGATGCTGTGACATTATGGTAATTGCACTTATGATATTAAGCCGAGTACAACACAACAAGATGCTAAACTGGATCATTTTATAACAATGGCAGTAACTTTGCATGACTGTAAACAACCAACTACCACACATGTAATGCTTTAGTGTTGGCTGTTGCGTTGCCTGCATGTGCTCTCTGCTGCAGTTGTGTAGATAGCACTAACGTGCATCTGTTGTCACATCTAGCACAAGCTAACGTTTTAACAAGATTGCATTACAGAGCTCATTTTGCACAACTTCCGACGTCGGCGTCGTTGGTTGTGAGTGAAAGCAGCATTGTCCGTGAACAAAAAATGAAGAAGCATGAAAATAAGATTAATAATAAAAATCTTAGATTAGAGCAAGAATTGAACTCAGGCCTGCTGCATGGCAAGCAGATGTTCTACCACAGAGACGTGTCATTGTTTTAAGGGGGCACACTGGTCTTAGAAAATTTTTTTTTGCTTTCCAACCAATTTTAATGAAACTCCATGGTCTTGTTCAGTTTTTTTAGCTGATTTCAAATATTCAATTAGTTTTGATGTAAGCTAATTAGTTCCCGAGATAATTAAAAATCTTTCGTGATTGTTCTTGAGAACAATAGAAAAAAACTAGTCAACAAAAAATTACCAGCATGGCATGAATAGATACTAGAAGTTGTGGAGAATGAAATGACGGAAGCAGTTTTTTTGTCTGGCAATCACACATGCAAGTTTACATCAATTCTAATTTCTCGGTTTAAAGTATGCCTGCTAACCAGTTATAAACAATGCTAATTAAACAATTATTTAAACGTGAAATGCAAAATCTGTTTCCCTTACTTCAAGGTTTAAACATTCAGCTTGACAATGCAAAATAAATTATCTTTCTAGCTGCACCGCATGCCGAGATGTACCTCTCAAGAATTTCCTAAACGTCAAAAATATGCATTTTGAGAAAATGGCAAAAAACACAACGGTGCCATGTTTAATGTAAACGGTAAAACATTCTGTACATTTTTGGAGCGAAATGACTAGTAGGCCCCAGAAGCATAGTCCCCTTGACTGCTGGCATCCAGGTGCCGCTTCTTGAGCGTCCGCTGCACATTTTCTGCAGACGCACGCCTGAGGGTAGAGTCCCTGGTTCGGCGGCGGTCTTTTTCAGCCATGCGTTAACTACTCAGTAGGCCGGGGTTCAAGCACAGCTCTTTGAGGATCTTGGATGATGTTACTTGACTTCCGGCATTAAACCTCATCACTGCCTCGGCGACCGCAGCTTCTACACTGTGCAGTGATGCATGGTGCTCCTTCGGGGCCAGCGACCAAATCACAGAGTGGAGACTTTCATTACTGTTCTGAGTCTTGCCTCGCTGGCAGCGCTCCAGCAGCTTCTTGTCCGCCAAGCGTTCGTACACTGGAAGCAAGGCCTCACAGACATGCGGCGGCAGGTTGTAGCGGTGTTTGGGGGCCGGCTCACCCCTGGCCTTGGCAGCGTTCTGGCGGCACCACGAGTCAGGACCTGTAGGGCACAGGCTGTGGTTGGACACGGCATCGTTGGACGTCACATGGTGGTATGTGGCCATCACAGCATTGTGCATGGCTGGCACGTCCCCTTTGTGAGATTTGATGGCCCAGCCATAGTAAGAGGTCAATTTGTTAACCAGGTCACCAGTCAGCCGCCCCCTACCACTGAGGCTCTCAGAGTCAGCTGGCCTCTGCTTGGGAAGATTGCGCAGTTGCGTGCCCATCCTCTTCTGGACGTGGTTCACACATTCCTCTTTGGTTACCTTTATAAAACCATACACATCTGCTTCCTTCAAAGCAGGGTAGGTGCGGCAGTCGCCATCAGAAAGAACTGTAGTGTATCTCAGCTTATGACGCTCCCACGACCTCTGAAACAGAATGAGGGCAGCTTCCACTTCCATCTCTCCAGCTTTTTTTGTGCTGTTTTTCTGGCAGTGGTGGTTCGCTTTCCACTCGTCGTAGGACGGGTCACTTTCTTTAGGCGCCCGCTCGCAGCCGGCACAAAAATTGCAGAGCACGACATAATCGAGCACAAGCCTCGTAAACAACTCGATAACTGTGCCGACTCCGATGTGCGACGAGTGTCCCCTCGTCATCCAGGAACCGTCGTACGACACAGCGATGTTGCCCGGGTTGCCGAGGTCCAGTTCCGCGTACAGTTCCCGAACCGATCGCGCGCACTCCGCGGTCAGCTTTTCCGACGCACGGACAGCTGCGGGCGTCAGTTTCGTCTTCACGTAGCTCTGCCACGTTTTGTTGTGCAGGCCGCGCGAAGAAATGTTCATCGATGAAAAAACGTCGTTGAATGCCGTTTGCTGATTGCCAGTAGACTGCATAGCGCGCGCGCCCAGAACATTGATGGCAAACGGCTTTGCCTTGCTCTCGCCGTCAACGCGCGGCGAGCTCTATGCCACCGACACATCGCCGCAGGTCGCGCACGTAAGCACTAGCTTTACGGCAAGGCCGTACTCCCTGTTCTCTTTGCCGATGTTTACATCACCGGAGCACAATTTGCACTTCATTGCACGCATCAGTTCGTTCACCTGGTCCAAACTCACGATCAAAAACCGTGTTTCGTCCAGCGGCGTGGCTGCGGCATCGTCGATATCGGCTAACAGGCCGCACTTGCGTTGTGTTGCTCCAGTTGAAGCGAGCTCTTGCAGCTTGTTTTCGGCGTTGCGACGCACCTCTGCCACTTCTAACGGGTGCAGCACTGCTGTGTCAAGACGAACGCGGCTGCTGCTGGATGCGTTATCTTGAGCGGGCGGCGGCGGAGGTGCTAGGCCTATGTTATCAGGGGCCTCGCCGCTGGCCACGGAAGGTGGGTCGCTTGCTCGTTCAGCGCTCCTCGCTGACGCGGAACGGCCTTTGAAGTTCTCGAGGAGCGACTTCTTTCTTTTTTTGGCGTACTGATTCCTTGTGTGGAATTTCCTTCCGGCTTTCCACATCGCGCGCGATCCTTGGCTAATCCGTCGTTCTCAGTCCGAGCAATATGGCGCCTGACTGCGCCGCCGCCGGCGCGAAGCAGACGACACACGCCGCTTGCGGCCAATCACGTTGCGCTGTTTAGTCACGTGCGCTCGCCGGCGAATAGGAACGCGTATTTTTGCTTTTTTTGGCGCGTGTTTTCTACTCTACCAATGAGCAGACAGGAGCCAGAGTGGCGGGAAATTGAAGACCGAAGACCGCGCTTTCAAATGAGACCTAGATCACTGCGATACTGCCCGTGGCGCAGCTGCGGGGAATTATTGAAAAATTGCTATTTTGGCGTCAGAATCTCGCCAAATCGGGCCCGTACGGCTTTTATAAGTAGCTGTTACTGTTCAAGTACCAACTTTTCGGAGGAAAAACTGAGCAAACTAATAGAAAAATACCTGTAGACTTCAAAAATGACATATAAAAAAATGCGTTTTTGGGCAATTTTTCGGCCCCAAAGACCCGTGTGCCCCCTTAAATTGCTTAGGAAAAAGAAAAAACACTATGATCGGACACAGCTTTAGAAGTCCACAGCATTTCCTCCTCATAGGCAGATGAACACAATGGGTGCATACTTTAGAATGGCGTCATGAGCCGGACAGCAGGTGACCCCACCTTGGAAGAACTTTGCCAAGTGACATTAAGAAATTCGTAGGTGCACGAAGACTGAAACAAGAAGACGACTTTGATATAACTGGTAGTAGCGCTCTGTGCGTTGTTTTACTGCTTCCGCCAGTGGCACGCTTACCAGTTTCATAATGGCACTGTACCAACTAGCTCGGACCCAGTTGCTGATTCAGTAGATTTGCAACCTCAGCAGGATTATTTCTTCAGTCGCACAGGATTAAGGCTGACACGCTTCAGTTTCCAGTGCGGGGCGGCCTCTCTGGACTTCTTTCAAGTTGTATACGACTATGTAAGAATGCCGTGTAGGGGAAGGAGTCTCCGTAATGCACATAATACAGTGCGGCAGAAATGCAGAATCGCGCCATATGTCAAAGCATGTGAACTGTGCAACGAGTGGGCGTTTAATCATTGCCACCACATTTTCTCACATTTAATCATTGCCATCAACAAAAGCATGTATCAACAAAGTGAGCAGCAGCGTAAGAATGAAAGTTGCCTTATAGACGTGCAGTAGGCCCTTCACTCATTTGAAAAAGGAAGAATTATGACACAGTGGGCACTTCGCAAGTATACTTACAGCATACATTTTAGGATAGTTTGAAACGGGCAATGTTAAGCGCACAGACATTAATTTTCTTGTGGCACCTTTGAGGCAGTATTGAGAACCAAAGCAGGCTAGCTATTGAGAAGGCCCTGATGACGCTGCAGAGCTCCATTCTTGAAGACCAAGCTATGCTTATTTAAAAAAATACCACCATGGTGCCACCTCTCTCGATGCTCTCTAAAACTAAAACTGCAAGCTGGGCACTATAAAAGCCTCTCCAAATATTTAACCGTATCGTGCTGGAGCAAATGAGGTTTCCAGCCGTTAGTAAGTGGGCCATCAACCACTTACCAAAGAAAAGAGAAAGTGGGAAAAAAACAAACAAGAAGAATGCCACATTTTTGTGTCAATGCATCTTCAAGATAGTACTAACGATTTGCCCTGGTTTAGGCCTAACTGCTTACAAAATTAAAAAAAAAAAAAATTCAGCCTGTTCAACATTGTGAAAAACCATGGACAGCAAAGCTGTAAGCGCACGTGTCCTATGTGGTTGTATAGTAAGATTGCATGGTGTCACGAATCTGCCACAACATTTGAAATGCACGTTCGCGCTCAACTGGGCTAAGTGAGATCCCATGGTCTGACAGCTTCAGCTTTTGGAAATAAAAGGCTCAATCAAGAACAGCTTCGCTGTTAAAACATGTCAGAGACAGCTCACAAAGACGGGAGTATCAGCATTCTGACCTGAAGGAGTGTTCCGTGAACGGCGTTGTGGCTAATGCAGTGGTCGTTGGCTGCCGGCAGGGACGAGATCAGCTGCAGCAGTAAAGTGCGTCTCGCAGAGGGGGCCACCAGTGGCACCAGGGCACGCGCTGCCAGGGCACGCACCTTCCACACGGGGCTGCGGGCACATTGTGCAACAGTGCGGCACAAAGTCCTCCAGCCGAAAGCTGCCTTCCACCACCGATGGGAAGAGGCGCGCCAGCAGCAGCAGCACGGGAAACGCATTGGATGCCAGTACCCTGAGTGACAGATTCATCCCGCGGGATTAAACGGACCAAAGAAACAATGCCCTTTGAGAGACAACACTCTTCCAAAGGCTGCCAATGCTAAAGCAAATGCTTGGGCGAGTTTGTTCATACTTGAGATAGAACAGCTTAAAAAAAAGAAAATACACAAAAAGACCCACTGAAATGAAGGAAAGTGTAAATTAAAGGCTCGTTTGCTTTTGTTAGGCACAATATTAACGGGAACTAACACGTAATAATGTCAGAGAAAGCAAAGGAGATGTCATTACAAGTAATTGTTATGTAAATTTGAAGAAAGAAAAGTGGACAGAAAGATAACTTGCCATCGGCAGGTTCCGAACCTGCGAACTTCGAATAAGTAGTCTGATGCTCTACCACTGAGATACGGTGGCATTTATCCCCCTGTCTACTTTATATATATATATATATGTACATTTATACAGGGTATATATGTGCATTTAGACATGTGAGTGTCAGTCAGTGCCACCTATTGACGTGGCAGCGAGTGTGGAACAATCTTCTTGCCTGTTTGTTGTCACGCAGTACGTGACCTTATTACGAGATGGCAGCTGACCAATAATCCCTTGCGTGCCTCCTCGAAACATGAAGTCTGCCAGAAATAGACCCTCGTTCTGGCAGACTTGATGCCTTAAGGAGGTATGCGAGGGATTACAAGTCAGCTGGGGTCAGCTCACGAAAGCTTATTTTACATAATCTTTCGTGAGCGCTGGCTACCAGCAGTGACTGAAATGGCAATACGCATACTTGTGGAATTAAGACTTGCTTCATTACAATCTTGCGACAATGCAAAAAACCCCAACATGACGAGTGGGGTTTCATTTTCATGTACAACAATAATTCAGAGACAATGTTGAACCTATCTTCCCATTATCGATTACAACCTAACAAAATGTGAGCCCTGCCCACAGCATCACGGTGTGCCTGCCATTCACATGTGAAATGCAGTCGTGTTAGCTGGTTCGCGCTTAGAATGAAAGTATCTGTTCCTGGCTAATGTAAATACAGCTGAACCCCGCTACAATGAAACTCACGGGGCACGGAAAATATTTCGTTGAGGCAAAATTTTTGTTGTAGTGAAATTGAAAAAATATAGCTGATTTGAGATATCAAAACAAAGGAACGTTATTCTTAAAATTAAAAAAGTGTCCGCTGCTACTATTCTTTCCCAGCAGCCTCACAACGCGATTCTCAGTCATGCATAGCGAGGCCATGGTGAAAAGCACGCAGAAACAACGCCTACAACCGCTTTGGTGAACGTACCAAACAGTTGCATTAACACAGCAACACCAGCAGCTCTCCGCCGTCAAAGGGTACTGACAACGCCGAGATGAAGGCAGGGTATCGTGGAGCGGTGACTTTTACCTTATTTTATGCCATTCTTATCATCCATCACTCCCGGCTAGCTGATTTGGTTGATAATGCCGATGAACAGCCGCGCTGATTAGGTACCACACTGGCCAAGCACGAATAAAATGATAAGCATTGGTATCGAAAAAGGCATCGCTCAGTGGTTGCACCCAGCAGTTGCGGCAGCTGCGTGAAGGAAACCATGAACTGACCGACCGAGCTTCAGCTTCGGATCGTCTGCGGCTCGAAAGCAAGCCAGTGTCAAAAGCAGGGCAGTCTCATTGCCATCGCTATCAAGCAATGGCGGCGCCCATGCTTGCTGAACAGCAGCGGTTTCCGGTGGTGCCAACGCGTGTTTTAGGCTTCGTCGCATGTTTTCAGGTTCTGAAAATGCATCAAAATGTTAAATATTGCGTTTTTTGTATAGCAATTAATATCAGAGCCTGAAATTGCATCGTGATAAATCGTTGAAACGGGACAGCAGAAGAAAAAGTGTTCGTTGTGGCAACAATAATTGTGTGTTGACTCCTATAGACTGCTGTTAAGGAACCGTGAATTTTCCGTTGTAGCAGAAATTTTTTTGAAGCGGCGTTTGTTGTAGTGGGGTTCGACTGTACCACACCTATTAAAAGGTAACTGTTTGTCATTACTGCTTGAAGCACTAGGTTTGGCTGAACAGAGATGACAGAACCCCTGACAAAATTAACCATGACGTTGAAGTTTCTGACTAATAACAGGCATGCCTGCGAGGAAAAGTCAAAAGCTGAAACTTTCAGGAATTTCTTAAGGTCACAAAAATGGGTAAGCGCTAATCAGGCAAAAAGACAGAGAATGGTTATGGTTTGGAGACAGGATAATCTGTGAAGTATGCAAACGTTTAAGAGCGATGGCAAAATGAGCAGGAGAAAGCACTCACAGATCACGTGAATATGCGGCCGACTTGGAGAGCTCTCGCAGAAGGAAATGGAAGAGCGGCGGGAAGCGCAGAAAGAAGACATGGCCCGTCAGGCAGTTCTTCCTCTGCGTCTCCTCTCGGCTACGGTTGACACCGAAGATGCGAGTCATCAGTGTGCTGAAGAGCAAGGTTGCGGCATTCCTCACCTGCACGTAGCCACGGCAAAGTCTATAGACAGCATGCGTCATCCGCTACAACACAAACCTATATTTTAGAACAGCAGCGTCTGAGACAAGAATATAGCTCTGACTAACACAGAGAAATACAGCAGACTCTCAATACTTTGATGACAGGCCGAAATGTGGGAAAAAAAAGTGTGATTTGATCACTTTTCAAGCTGCGAACACACACACACATACAATCTGAATGCAGTGCAATCTTTAACACTTTCTTGAAATTTCAATTGCACGGTGCGGAACACACACACACACATACAATTTAAATGCAGTGCAATCTTTAACACTTTCTTGAAATTTCAATTGCACGGTGCCATAATTATTACGGTAGATTATAGCTTAGAGTATGAATAGCCAGCCTGCCAGCATCTATGTAAAACATGCATCTTTGAAAAATACTACCGAATTATTTATTGATAAAGAAGCAGAGAAATTCAAATGATTACCAGTGGAGACTTTAGTAAGTGCATGCACAGCTTTCCGAACCCATTAACAATGCTTAAATCTACATTACAAACATGCAGCTTAACAGAGCTGTAAATGACAAATAACAGCAATAAAGACAGATTTTATGTGAGAGCTAGTTGCTCCTGTTACACACAACAAAAGGGATTTACTCTTTTACTTGGTGGCCTCCGTTAGAAGAATCGGAAATGCTGCTGTGGTGTTTGAAAGCCTCGTGTTACACACAACAAAAGGGGTTTACTCTTTTACTTGGTAGCCTCAGTTAGAAGAATCGGAAATGCTGCTGTGGTGTTTGAAAGCCTCGTGTTACGCACAACAAAAGGGGTTTACTCTTTTACTTGGTAGCCTCAGTTAGAAGAATCGGAAATGCTGCTGTGGTGTTTGAAAGCCTGAGTTGTTCACCGATCCGTCAAAACAGTGAGTAGGCAAAGGAGACGCTTTACTCACCGACCAAATCTTGGATTCAAAGCCGATGACGGCCACTTGAATGCCATCGCCAGCATACGGCATCACCGCATCACCAAGCCTTGCTTCACGAAAAAGTGCTCGCAGCACATTCATAGCGTGAACCTGGAAAACCATCACTCGTTGATTCAACTGTATAACATCACCATGTCATCAGGGAAGCAAAAGAACATTGTGAAAACTGTCATTATCAAGCAAAATTTTGAATTGACCCATTGGCCTCTGCAGCCCACAATCCGCCGGCCGCTCAGAAAATAGTTGCTTTTGACAATGTTTTATAGATGACAGTACATTATTTGATGTTTGTCATTTGCACTTTCTTGATATGTTCCCCACTAGATGGACATAGTTTTCGGTAGTTGGAGCTGTTTGTAAGCGTGCAGGTTTTATTCAGCGGCGAAGGGTGCACGTTGCCGGCTTTTTCAAAAGACAGCGTTGTGCAAAAGACGTAGCCCGACAGATGAAGAAATTGTTAGTCTGGTGCTTGACAGTGACACCGAAAGTGACATGTGTGATGATTATGATGTTCTGTTAGAGGACCCCTCAAGGCTATGCTCAGTCTGCAAGGCATACGGCAAAAAAGTTTTGAGCTGATGGAAGTGCAAAAAATGTGAAGTTTCTCTTCACATGCCTGTGTGCTTCAAAGTTTTTCACACGCGAATATTGTACTGAAACTGATGATGCAGTGACACATCGCTAAGAGGATAAAGCAAGCTTTGTTATTATATGGCATCTATTGGAGATATTATTGTCATTTATATTTTCCGACCCATGCCACCTGCCGACGCGAAAATTTCCCCTCAGGATACCTGGCAAGAACAGCCGCAGTGAGCACAAAAGCCAAGGGGTAAACAGCGAAGCTATTTAAGCTTGCCAAAAGCCAGTCCGGCTTTATCAGAAAACTTCAGCCATGGCATCCTGCGTCGTCTAGCGACGTGCCGAAAGAATAAAAGCAGGAGGAGAGAAGAGAATAAATAAAACAAAGTAAAACTTCTTGGCAGACAAGATTTTAAACTGCACGGTCATAAGTCAAGCTTCCTAACCACTGGGCTATCCAAGGACGCTATGGCAGTTGTGGGAGCGACTGGGTTTTGCTGCTCTGGGAGATTGAGAAAAAAAGATACGGAGAAAGAGAGACGAGGAGAAAGAAAGCATAGCATTAAAAAATATATAAACTAATTTTTCTTCACAGCAATGTACACCATATAAAAATGAAAACAGTGAAAGAACAGACCACAGATTCAGTGCACTACTGTAATAAGTGTTAAGCAAAGAAATCATGCCTATTCTGCTGCCGTGTCGTCTTATCAAAGCCTCGTGTGATGCCCAAAGTGGTGCGATGCTCATCCTACGTTGTTCCCCGGACAAGCCACTTGCTCTCTCCCCTTAGTACAATGAATGCGCAACATCGAAAGCCGACGCAAGCGATATCACATTGTGCGATTCATGCCATAAGTAACCTAGCCAAGTACAGCAAAGGGGTGGGAAAAAGAAGTGAGGGCGAGGAGCAGGCGATGAAGTAAGGTATAGCACAGCCACATAGCACATGGCTACACATAGCATAGCCATGGGTAGGTTAGTAAACAAGGGGGTGGAAAGGGTGAGGAAGAGGGGAATGCCTCGAGCTCTGCTGTTTCCTCAGTCTTCACACCACAAGTGTGGTGAGCTACCCCAATTTTTTCTTTTTCATTTCTTATAAAAGTTATACATCTCTGTAAAAGGGTATGATTAGGTTAAGTACCTTTGGTTCTACTGATGCATCAGTGTCCATGGATGCCAGCACAAGAAGTTCTCTGATGGCTCGATGGAATGTTGCTAGTGAGCGCACCTCCGGCTCTGACACAAGGATGGCCTGCGGGTGAGCAAAGCCCAGAATTCCTCGTATTAGCACCACCACAATCTATTTTCTTCAATGCATTTGCCGTAAAATACAGAGTATAGGTCAACCTAGAATATAGGTCGACCCCTCAAACTTTGAATCTTCAAAAAAGAAATTTCAAATATCACAAAGTATTGTGGCACACCCTTACCTTGATGAATACATGACACAACCAGCTGCACTGTGGTGATGTTTCTTTTAATTGGAACACTAATCTTATGTAGTTAAATGCCAGAAGGCCAGAAGGCTGTCACTCGAACTCATCCGAACTTCAGTCCGACGACATCTGCTTTTCACTAGTAACATCCCAGAGTGCATCATTCTTCCGTTCCATCTAATGCGTTACTGATGCAGCATTTGCTGAAAGACGGAGGTACGCCACCTCAGTGCAAAGTCCTTTCACTTCATAAATCGGCGTACCCACGATGGTGATTCCTTGAATTGCACCCTTGTGAGCCCAGAGTCGCACATTATCTTTAGCGCTTTCAACCAGATGCACTCCGCTGTTACGGATAGCGACCTTGCAAGCAGCTTCCGGACAAATTCGGCTAGTAGCATTTCCAGTTAAGGGTGCACTGCAGTCCGTCCACGAAATGATATACATATATATATTTTTTTATGGTTGCTGCCCAATGTGGTGCACAGCTTTTGGCTCATCCAGCATCGGACATTTTTCTTCAACGCACCGAATTCCCATTGTGCCACCAGGTTGCCACGCGCCTCGGTATTTTCGATAACCTTTTTCTTAGAGCCTATCGTAAACTGCCGTTGACTAACACTCATTTCTCGAAAAAGAAAACAGCATACTGACCGCAGATAACCAAGGCAAAATGACGTTGCTAGAACACTGTAGGCCTTCTTTAGCCTAGCCGCACGGCGCCGCTGTTGATGCTCACGATGCCAATGAAGGCTTTCGACTTGAGCTGCTCATTGTTGCGAGACATCTACATTTTTTTTTTTTTTTGCCAATGACCGGTATATAAGATGAGAGATGACGTTTCATTGGAATAAAAAAAAAAAAATAAAACCTACGTTCCAGGTTTTTAAGGTATTCACTGAAAAGAGTCTTTACATGGGTCTCATTAATCAAGAGTGACATCGCAGCAGTGACTACTTTTGGTGAGGTCACATTAGATGGTAAAATCATATTTAGTGCATCGGTGGTTTGAGTTTTTGGTGCTTTCAGCCTATTAATGCAATACATACAACTGGGTCCGACATTAACAAGGGTGCGCTACTTGACTGATGGACTGAGCTACCAAATGCATCAATGTGAAAGCAAAAATTTTTCACCCACCTGAACCATAAATGGAATGCCAGCACTCCGACGTGTGGCACAGACGCCCTTGTCCTTGATGACTGCCATGATGTTCCCAAGCCAGGCGCCCGGAAGGTTTGCCAACTCTGGGTGTTTGCATCTAGTATGGCAACGACAGGGACGCAGGAAATGCATGAAAGTGGCTGTACACTTCAGTAGACTCATCATAATTCAAACAAATTTCAAATTCTCTATTGCCTGTTTCTGTTTTCAATGTAATATTAAGTCAAATTTATCCAGTGCCTAAACTTGGTTAGTTCATACTCTCTGCTTGTCGATCGTAAATAAACATCTGCTGCCTTGTTGCTTCTAGCTGAAGCGGCCAAAGCACTTGCTCTTCCCTCCAATCCAATGAATTGGCAACATCGAAAACCGTCAGAAATGGTATCACACAGTGGGATTCCCAGCGTAAATAACACAAATGTATTAACTTCCTAAAACATCACAGAACCAATGCGCTAACGTAGTACGACATTTCACACACCTCCAAAGCATGTGGCACAGCTTTTGGAAAGCACTGTATGCTTGCTCGAAGGCTCCGCGATGCCTCACTGTCGACATCTGCTCCATGAAGAAGTCTCCAATAGACAGCACCTGTGGAACCCAAGTTGTGTGAACGTAGGCTTCATTAAACCTCTACTTTGTAATCTGCCACGTGCCAGCATGTACGCCACACCAAACTTCACAGAGTGGTTGCAACAGCTGACACGGGCACCCATGGTTTTGCAATAACTTTAGCCGCAAGCTCATTACAGTACACTCTTGACAATTTAAACTGCGACAATTCAGATTTCTGGTCGATTCAAACAAATATTGAAAATTTTGTCGGCTAACTATGCTCTCAATTAATCTTAAAATTACTTAATTCTAAGCTGCCCCACTGCATTAGTTATGTTGATTCAAATATATTTACTTGTCCAAAACTGAAAATATGTGCTGCCTTTGCTGCTTTACACTGAAAATTTGCATGCTTGTGTCACTAAAACTCCAAAATGAAGTCTAATTCCGACCTACAAAGCAGCCAAACTAGCCTAGCCATATGCACCAACAATTTTATGCCCACTGAGAAGAAAAAAAAAATAATGAAGACTGTCTGCCAATGATCTCTTTCACTGAGATCTGGCAAGGTCACTTTCACCGCAGTACACTTCTGTAAAGCAAAAATGCGAAAAGGGGCTTCTAGCTGTCACAGGACCCTGAAACCCTTAACTACACATGCATGCAAGCACTATTAATTAACAAGTACCAGTATTATTGCTGGAATCTAAAAATAAAAACTTCACTGTCAATTATGCAGAACTGCCCATGATGTTGCAGAAGCACTAAGAAAAAATAAGATACCTGACATTAATTAGTATGTTCACAAGTCATCTTTACGAGAACGGCTTAATTCAAACGAAATTCTGGGGTCCTCTTAAGTTTGAATTAACGAGAGTGCATCACTACACACGCATGCTATAACTCATAAAAAGCTTCATGTCATTGAGATTCAAACACAGTGGTATATTTAGGCTGGTGTGAATGTTTGAGTGCTTCGAATACTCAAATAATTAAGTCAAACTAAAATATTTTATACATGTTTCATGGCTCCAGTGTGTGGACAGCGATAGCACTGCGCGCCAAGTGAACGAAAAATGCCCATTTTGCAATGCGAAAGGATCATGCCAGTACTCTTTCAAAGGGACACTAAAGAGAAAGAATAAGTTGTTTCAGATTGATAAACTGCACTCTGAGAACTCTAATGCCACAAGCTTCACTGTCATAAGTTCATTATTAGTGGAGAAAATCAAAGCTGAAGCTTCATTTTTAAATTTCGCGCCATAATCTCCGCACGTGACGCAAGAAATTCCACAACGTATTTTTGGTATTTTTGCAGCATTCGCTTAATGAAGTTTTTTGAACTTCGTATGCCAAGTCCTTTGGCAGCCACAGATTACAATGTACTTCAACTTTATTGATTAGGAGCTATGTAGGAACCAGTAGAGATGCCTTTGAAATTGATGACATCACGCTGTTTGGTGCGAAAACGTCAAGGTGGCGTTTCTACCTGCATTTTCATTTCGCACGTTCTCTCGCTTACCAACACGATAAGAGTGGTGTTTTCTGGATTGTGGAATTGCACTCTACTAATGGGCAAAAGATCGTTTTGCTGTGTAGTGTCCCTCTAAGTAGAGAACACAAGACACACTCGCTCTGCACTACAAGTGGTCACTTACTTGCTTTAAAGAGAGACAAACGCCCATGCCGGCACCTCCGGATTCCAGCGGACATGCCTCACAGATGTCGCCGAAAAAGAGGGACACCTCGCGGTGCGCGCGCCAGCCGCACAGCAGCAACATCTGCGCTGCCACTGCGGTGCTCTTCACGGCATCCACGGATGGCCCGTCGCCCCTGTCGGCCTCAAATTTACGGACCCAGCCCCTGTGCAGTGCCACTTGCATTTCCCTGAGAAGTCCTGCATGTAGATTTGTGGTTTAGAGGTTCACTTAAGTCAAGCAAAGAATAGACTTTTACTGATAAGGTGCACTCTGAAACCCTAATTTCGTCTAATAAAAACTGCTGTGGTTTTCGGCCCCAAAAACATGACACAAGGAATGCCACAGTGGAAGGCTCTGAAAATTATGACCATTACGTAGTAAACAAAGTTTCCATGCGGGAACCGAGACATGCCTCTTCAATTTGTTCTTATTTGCGGTGAGCGTTCAATACAGACTTTTTACAATGCCTTCTCCCAACGAAAAATGGTTCTGTGAAACTAAATTTTACGTCTACTCTTCCATACCTGTATTTTGCATTGCTGCCTTGAATAATTCTTCAAAAAAAAAAAAAACAAATGCATTTATGATAAGTTACCGGTCACATAGCTTGCCAACATCGGCGTTCTTGCTGATCAGTTATTGACAGCAGAACATTTCTCACCTGGATCTTCGTCAATGTCCAGTTGACCTTCGGGAGATGCATTGCTCACTACACGTCCCACCACAGCGGCCACTTCAAACGCCACTTGCATTGACTGGCACAAGACTGCTTTCCACGAGGCCACATTGTCACTAGGCAAAAGCCTGCGATAAAGAAAGAAAGGAACAAACGCACAATCAAAAGTACTTTAAGCCAACAAGTGCCGGTATCCACCACATTCTCTTGTGACCATACTCTCTTGAGGAGCAATTTATATCCCCACAACACACCAGAGCTGAGCAAATATTTGATTGCTTCAAATGTTCAAATGAACATACAGTACATTCAAACCTCATTAGTATAACAAAGTTGATTCTTACACAAAATTAGGTTCATTATATCCAAAAATTCGTTATAAACACTATAGTTACTCCAAGGCTATTTTTCTTGCAATCGTTATAACCAATATTTTGTTATATCCCGATTTGTTATATCAAGGTATGAGTGCACTCAAATTCACATTGACACAAATTAACAGTTCCTGAAATTTTGAAACACAGCAAAACCTCGTTAATACGTTTCCGAAAAACAGCGCAGGATGAACGTATGATCCGGGAAAACATCGATCCGAATCCAGCGAAAATTGATGCTGAGAAGTTCATATAAAGTTGTAGGAGCATAAAACATTTATTTCTCAAAAAACACAAATTTCTTATTGCTGTGATTCACTCTTGGACAAGTAAAGCACCTTCAGCGCACATTGCAGACCCTTGTTCATATTTTGATTGTTTTTCGTGCAAAATAAGTTTTCTAAAGCTTCTAGTCGAGCTTCGAGTCGAGTCGTTACTTCGCCTTTGTGGCGAAACTTTGACTTTTTTTTTTTAAATTTCGAACAATCCTGTCTTCACCACGGAAGAGATGTCAGATTAGGCACTGATGAAAACTCTCCGAGACCACGGTGACAACGCGCGCTTTCGTTTTGCGCCATGCCGTGAGTTCACAGGCTGGTAGCTTTCGCGATTAGCTGATTAGTTCTGGCAACACGAAGACGCGTTGAATGCAATGCAATGAACACGATAGCGAAAAATTGTAATGTTATAAGAAGTAAGGCTAGCAGCCAACTCTTTTGGATCTAATATCGCAGAACTCCTACAAAACGCTGGTGTGAGCAAATACGGCCGCTCCAAGGAGAAGTTCTCTTTTCACACAGTCCCTTCACGTTGAAACCGCACTGATACTCGCTGAGATAGCAAGCACGCCAGCGATCACGAATGCCCTTGAATTCATGCATTATTACTGCTCGAGCGATCCCCCCCACCCCCCCACCCCCAACGTTGTTTCATGCTCAATCAAGACTGGTTGTTTACTTTCTGTATGAACATTCGACGACAGTTGTAACAAGCTGGAGATGTTATGAACTTTCCAGGCGTTAGAGATGGGCCGACTCATTTTATCTCTGCTTCAGCAGCGCTCATGCGCTTTTACCCGCTCGTGATTGATTGATTGATATGTGGGGTTTAACGTCCCAAAACCACCATTCGATTATGAGAGACGCCGTAGTGGTGGGCTCCAGAAATTTCGACCACCTGGAGTTCTTTAACGTGCACCCAAATTTGAGTACACGGGCCTACAACATTTCCGCCTCCATCGGAAATGCAGCCGCCGCAGCCGGGATTCGAACCCTGCGACCTGAGGGTCAGCAGCCGAGTACCTTAGCCACTAGACCACCGCGGTAGGGGCTTTTACCCGCTCGTGAAAGTTAGGATGCGCAGGGGCATGTTATCAATTTGCATTTGTTACGGAACAGGGCGGCAATGGCAAAAAACCCGCCGAGAGTGTCCATATAATGGCTATCACAATATTAATGGAGTTTTTTAGCGTAAAATAGGTGCTTTGGGTTATCTCTGCCTTCAGTCCCCCTATCATGTTAATTTGCACTTTTATTTTCCGAATTTTCGTACCGAACCTGCATATAAAGAAATCCTCTTTATAACAAGTATTCAGGTTTAACTGTATGACGAGAACCCGCCAAGATTATGTAAGACCGCGCACTGACAGTAAATGTGAAAGCTCGTGCCATAAAGCTATAAAAGTTTCAATTTACAGACGAGGTAGCAAATGCAATATCAGTAGCAAGCATGATAACAATGATGCTTTTCCCGACAGGAAAATATAGAGCGCAGTTGATAAGAAAAGGATCGCACAAGGCACGTTGAGTCGCGCGCGGCTGGCACGCTACTCAACATGTGGTGCAAAGGGTAACCGCCCTCCAAACCCGTGCACTGTGTCGCGGTCTTTATTCCTTTTCATTTTCCTCTCTCTGTCCTTCGTTCGTTCAATCCGCGTCCCCTCCTCCTCCGTAATGACCTCGTCCTTCGCTCCCCAGCGGCACACCAAGCACGCCTCCTTTCAGACATGTCCCTGCTACATCATTTGTCACCGATTTTCCGGCAACCAAATTATAATCTGTCTTCTATCTTGAGGGACTGCACAATTAGCGGTATGCGTATACATGGGGTTCTATGGGAGGGTAAACGTGAGCCAAAAAAAAAACCGCATTGTAGCCAGTCCCTGCACTACAAGCGGTTACATTATAAGTGGTCTGCACTGTACATTCCTAACACTGTACCTATAGCAAGACTATTCTGCATTTACTTAGTTATAATTGATATTCCGTTATATCGAGGTTTGAGTGTACATGCAAAACTCGGCAAGTTTCATCGAAAACAATTGAGAATCAGAACAAAGTTTGAGAGTGCTGTGTCCCCACAATGAGGTCATCATCGTCATCAGCCTGACTGCACCCACTGCACGACAAAGGCCTCTCCCATGTTCCGCCAGTCAACTCGGTCCTGTGCTTGCTGCTGCCACTCCATACCCGCAAACTTCCTAATCTCATCTGCCCACCTAACTTTCTGTCTTCCTTCACCGCTTGCCTTCTCTTAGAATCCAGCCTGTGATCCTTAATGACCACAGGTCATCTTGCCTTCGCACTAGGTGCCCTGCCCATAACCATTTCTTCTTCTTGATTCCGACTATGATGTCCATAAGGTATGATGGAGAATACCTTAGTAACCTGCGCTTCGCCGATGACATTGCATTGCTGAGTAACTCGGGGGACGAATTGCAACTCATGATTACGGAGTTAGACAAGGAGAGCAGAAAGGTGGGTCTTAAAATTAATCTGCGGAAAACGAAAGTAATGCACAACAACCTCGGCAAGGAGCAGCGCTCCGAGATAGGTGATAGTGCACTTGAAGTTGTAAAAGACTATGTCTACTTAGGGCAGGTAATAACCGCAGAGCCGAACCACGAGATTAAAGTAACTAGAAGAATAAGAATGGGGTGGAGCACATTCGGCAAGCACTCTCAAATTATGACAGGTAGATTGCCACTATCCCTCAAGAGGAAGGTATATGACAGCTGTATCTTGCCGGTACTTAGCTACGGAGCAGAAACCTGGAGACTTACAAAGAGGGTTCAACTTAATTGAGGACGACGCAGCGAGCAATGGAAAGAAAAATGGTAGGTGTAACCTTTCCATAACACCCACTTAGCGCCCTTAAGGTGCCCCTAAACCACCCAGCGGTTGAAATTTAGTTGAGGTGAGGAAGTTGTGCTCGAGTTTAATACGAACACCTAGCCGTGAGAATTTTTCGAAACGGTGCTGTAATAGTGGAGTTACACATGTTTGATGATCGAAACGCGACGATTGCTTCTTTCTCTCTTTCCTACACTACCCTCTTTCAAAACCGCTTGGCCCCTCCTCATGTCCCGTGGCATACGTCACCGCTGATGCGCTGTTTGAGAAGGTGTCTACTTACGGTTGCTGCGATCCGCCACTCTGACGCCCCAGCTCACTGTATACTGTGTTGTCTGTGTCATCTGGGTGCACTGATCATTGACTAACCGCTGTTGCTATCGTGCCGACCCGTGCCCCTACACTAGCAACTTGGCGGTTGAGTTACAGGCCGCAGATGTCGATTTGCAAGCGGCAACACGACCAGGAACAGCAAGGTGCGCGCAAACAGCTGTTTGCAGAGTGACCAAAAGTCGTCGGTTGTCCTTCGGCTAATCACAAGCAATGAAAGTGGTGACGTCATCGAGTTTCACTGGTGATGTCACACATGTCAGCGGCGGGAATGGCGGAGACCGAAAAGGAGAAGCTATTGTTTTTTCAAAATTGTGGTGCGCCCGCTACCTGTAGCGCTGCGGCGTGTGGCATCGTTGATTGCGACGACATTCTGCACGTGATGCGCTCGTTTACTTGAAATGTTTGGGAAAATATCGGAGGGGGTTTAGGGGCCCTTCAACAAACATAGAGGTCATCATCATCATCAGCCTGACTAGGTCAACTGCAGGACAAAGGCTTCTCCCCTGTTCCGCCAATAAACTCGGTCCTGTGCTTGCTGCTGCCACTTTACAGCGGCAAACTTCCTAATCTCATCTGCCCACCTATTTTCTGTCTCCCCCTAATCTACTTGCCTTCTCTGGGAATCCAGTCAGTTATCCTTAATGACGAGCGATCATCATGCCTACGTGTTACATGCCCGGCCCATGTCTATTTCTTCTTCTTGATTTAAATTATGATATCCTTAACCCTTGTTTGTTCCCTGATCCACTCAGCCCACTTCTTGTCTCTTAAGGTTACACCTATCATTTTCCTTTCGATCGCTCACAGCGTCATCCTCAATTTAAGCTGAAACCTCTTTGTTAAACTCCATGTTTCTTCTCCGTACGTAAGTACAGGCAAGATGCAGCTATAAAATACCTTCCTTATGAGGGATAGAGGCAATCTACTAGTCATGATTTGAGAGTGCTTGCCGAATGTGCTCCACCCCATTTTTACTCCTTTAATTACTTCAATCTCATGATTCCGCTCCGTGGTTATTAGATCTCCTAAGTATACGTAGTCTTTTATAACTTCAAGAGCACCTTTACTAATCTCGAAGCGCTGTTATTTTTCGAGGTACATGACTTTCGCTGTCTGCCGACTAATTTGAGACCTACCTTTCTGCTCTCCTTGTCTAATTCAATAATCATGAGTTGCAATTCGTCCCCTGAGTTATTCAGAAATGCAATGTCAGCAGCGAAGCGCAGATTACTAAGGTACTCTCCATTATCTCTTGTCCCAACTTTTCCCATTCTGGGCCCCTAAAAACATCCTGTGTAAGACAAGGGGATACAATTTTCCCAATGCTATTTACCGCGTGCTTACAGACACAAAAGTACTCACTTCCAATTGACCTTTCTCATGAGGGCGCGAAGCGAGATCAGGGCACCATACAATGGACCGGTCGACGAAGCTTCGAGGAGGCTGTTCTTAGCCACCGTCAACTGTCTTTCCAGTTCGGCCAGAACCAGAAACGCCGTCCAGAAGACATTGTCATCTTCCTCGTGGCTCTTGCGCAGCTTGATGGCAGTTCCCAGCAACGGAGACAGGCTTGGGAGTGAAATGCACAGCTTGCGCGAGACCTTCGCAGTCAGCTTCAGCGTCGAGATAAGATCGAGAAAGTAGGCGGCCGTGACTGAATCGGGAGGCCGGGCGCTCTTCGTCAGCGCCACAGTTGCCAACAGGAGTTCTTCGATCCAGCCCTCTTCCTACACAATCCGGAAGAAAAAAGAAATGGTAATAAGAACAACGCATATATATTGCTTAGAAAAGGATTGCAAGCCCATAAATAACACCATGAGAAGTTTCGTAGTGCCTAGTAAGCACAAAAGCAAGTAAAAAACAAAAGAGCTAAATCTTAAAGGGATGCTTGAAAGAAAAGAGATTTTCCCAGTATTAATAAATTACGTTATACGATACCATAAACACTACACCTGCTCCTAGAAGATACTCAGAAAGTGAGAGAACACGCAAAGAGATTATGAGGATCATTGTGAACGCCTACTTTCCAACTGATTTAAAGCAACACGACACAAAGGCTATGTAACAACTTTTTTTTTTTGTGCAAAGTACCAAAAACATACCTTGCCCCCTCTTCCTCCTGGGATAGGGTAATGCCTGTTTTTCAAGTCGAGAGATGCTAATTTGTAGCTGGTGGTTCATGCGTAGTACGTTTAGTGCGTACTGTGTTTACTCGCATAATAGGCACACTTTTTTTTCCAGAAATCCGGTGCCAAGTTCAAGATTCGCCTATTATGCGGGATAAAACTTCCGTAAATTTTATTTCATATTACGGCGTAGACCACTAACGTAAGTTGCCAAAGTTCCAAATATCTGTACTACAGCCAAAACAAGCATCTTCATAGACTACATTACTGAAAAACTTGTTGAGCATGCAGTATCGTGCGTTTGAGAATTGAGGCATGCGATGCAGTGTGCTTTAAGCATTCAAATGACCAAAAATTAACATTGAAAAACTTGAGTTGACAACAAAATGAATGCGGAAAAAAAAACTGCGAAAAGAAAGCGGCATCGCGGAAATTAGCTGATGTACGTTTCAGGCCACCGCCAAAATTTCTGTGCACTGAACGGTATCGATCGTTCGATTTCATGGGCTCTCTTGTTCAAAGGCATTGCACTCGAATTGCAAACCAGCATTCGAGTGTTACAAGTGCCACTCATGCCCCATTTTCTTCAACTTGAGTCACCACAAGGAGCTGCGTTGACTCCGTACTCAACCGCAACTTTTGATCGCCCACGACTGCCACCAAAAAGCGACCAACGCTGATTTGGCCTGTGGGAAATTTAGGCTAGCCCGCCGCCATTGTGCGGGCTTTGCCGCCTATTTCTGCTGTTCTCATGTCCTGACATGACTCTCCCCTCCTCCGCGGTCTGTCGTGTTAGGGGAGTGGAAGTGACGATTAACCCCTCTCAGCCGGTAGCGGATGTCGACTGTGGCGCCGTGCGCAATGCCTCTCGGGACGTAACGCGCACATGTCTTTAGTGAGGAAGAATTTCTTTGGGACGACGAGGGTGAGCACTCATTTATTTCTGTCCGTCGGCTCCTTTTGTTTGGGGCACACACAAACTTCGCCAACGGCGCCTTGCGCCCACTGCGAACGCTCACCTTTCGTTGCCCCTTTCGAATGCTAGGCCAAAGAGTGGTGTGGTGTCCTACTACGCTGACCCGTACCTTTCAGAAGTCAACGCAAGCGCATTTTGCCCTCGCTCGAACGACCGGCCTCTGCTTGTTCCAGTGTCCCCGTGAATCATTTTTTGCCCACAGAGACGTGCTCGCGGCACCCTATGTAGTACTTCTCACTCGTGGCGCGGATTTGCTTTCCTGCCGCCACTGTTGCAACGGGCTCTGTACTGCGTTTTTGGTTGCCGCAGGCAATAAAGTGTTGCGGCCTGTTGAGAGCAGAACCGTGTTCTTGCCACGCTGCGCTCGGCGCCATAGCTGTCCGAACGTGCATGTGCAGAGGCGACGGTTAACGCGTGCCCTGCAGCTCGCTAAGACCGAACCCAAGCTAGTCGCCGTACTCCTTCGGGATATGTGTACACTGTGGGAATTGAGGCTCGCCCGCTGCCTTTGAGCGGGCTTTCCCGCCTTTTCTGCCGTTCTCATGTCCCGACATGTCTGCCCTCCTTGCTGTCTGCCGCGCTGGGAAGGGCGGAGTGACGTTTAACTCCCTCACCCGGAAGCGGATGTGGACTGTGGCGCCGCGTGCGGGGACCCCCGAGAGGTTTTCGCGCGCTGCGTCGGGAGCGGTCAGATACTCTCCGGGACGGCAAACGGTGAGCCACGCTATCTTTTCGTCCGTCGACTCCCGTCAGTCGGGGCTCGTCGGACTTCGCTGACGGCGCCTCGCGCCGAAGGCGAACGCTCACCCGCTGTTGCTCCGCTGCGTACGCACGGCCGAAGGGCGGTACGGTGTCCTAGTGCGTGGCCTCGCTACGCCGACCCGTCTCCCTTCGAAGCCAACGCGAGCGCCTTTGCCCTCGCTCGAGCAACCGGGCCTTTGCTCCGGTGTCTCCGTGGATCACCTTTACCGCGGAGACGTGCTCGTGGCACCCCTGTGTAGTACTTTGTGCCCGTGGCGTGGATAAGCCTACTTGCTTTCCCGCCGCGCCTATTTGCAACGGGCTGTACTGCGTTTGGTGTTGCCACAATAAAGTGTTGCGACTTGAGCAGTATCGTGTTTCCCGCCACGGCGACGGTTAACGCGTGCCCTGCGGCTCGCTAAGACCGGACCCACGCTGGTGGCCGTACTCCTTCGGGATACGTGTACACCACACTGGCGCCCAACGCGGTATCAAAAGCTCTAGCTTTTGATTGCTCTTAGCGAGTCAGTTCGCCTGCGCGATTCGGGCTCGTCGCAACATGGCTGCTTCGCGGGACTTTTGTCCGCTGTCCCTTTTAGCGGATGCCGCGTTGCACACGGAGGCCATTGCCTCTGTGGACGGGAACCCTTCTGCACCCGTCCGTGTCGGCACCCCCTATTGCGGTGACGACACGAGGCGCCTAGCCGCTCCCTTTGGAGATGGCGCGTCGCTTCGGAATGGGCCTCTTGCCCTACCCGAACGTTACGCACAAGCGCCTCCGACACCCGTCCGTGTCGGCACCCCCTATTGCGGCGACGACACGGGGCGCCTAGCCGCTCCCTTTGGAGATGGCGCGTCGCTTCGGAATGGGCCTCTTGCCCTACCCGAACGTTACGCACAAGCGCCTCCGACTGCTAATGCGCCCTTTGGCATGCATGGCAGTTCGTCGGCACAGCGCTCGCAGTCGGTTCCCTGCGGAATTGACGGGGCCCTCGCCGACTTTTGCCCGCTATCAGCCGTGCAACCGACACTTCGACCGCACGCTGAGCAGGCGCCTGAATTGTCGATGGTAGCCGCACCAAGTGCGCCTTTGGTTCGACAACAGGCAAATCCCACAAGGAGCTTATTTTGCTCTGGGAATGGCGCGCAGGGCGGTGGTCTGTTTGAAACCGCCCCACTGATCGAGCTGGGCGACTGCTCGCCTTCGCTCGACCGCGCCGCTAACGCACCAACGGTTTCCTACGAAGCCGGTGCGACGACGCAGACTTTGCTGCAAAACGCCGTGCAGATGATCCAAGCACTCTCGGGAGCTGTGCAAACGCTTTCGGCTGGTCCGAAAGGCGGTCACCCCGCTGTTATGTTGCCTGTGCCAACCTACAGCGGATACGGTGATCAGCTCACCGCCCGAGAGTACCTCGACTCTCTGTCACGCTATCAGAGAGCGATGGGTTTGGATGATAGGGTGGTGCTCGAACGTGTTGTTCCAGCTGCACTGACTGACACGGCGGCGAGATGGTATCGGCTTTCCGGTTACCGTGCAGCAAACCTCGAGGAATTTCGTGCGGTCTTTTTGCGCGAATTCCTACCCGCTGACTACGAAAGTAGGATGCGGCGAGAGCTCGAGCTCCGTACACAAGCTCCTGACGAGTCTTTACAGGAGTATGTACGGGCGATGGATGAACTTATTTCTATCGCTGAGCCCCGAGCCTCGAACGAGGAACGCGTCGAACGGGTGATACGGCAGGCACATCCGACTTTTTCGGCATACCTGCGCGGCGGCCGCTTCAGTGATTTGGAAGCGTTGGCCGCCGAGGCGAAGCGCATCCAAGGCGACATTCTCGCCGCGCGTGCCTATCGCCCGCCGCCGCCAGCCAGCGACGCCCTTGAGCCGCGCTGCGCTTGGAGAGGGGCCATGACCCTTCCCCAACGGCAACAGCCTCTCGGCGCCGCCTTTGCGGCTGCAACCGGCTGTGCGTGGGAGTTGAGCGATCGCGCTCTTGACCCCTTTACGCATGAAAGGCGGGCAGCCTGCGCTGCTCCACCTGAAACCTCCATACAGGGACGCTTTTCGACCCAACGTAATGTTGGAGGTGCGGCTCGCAGAAACGTATCCTACGATAACGTAGCGAGCCGATCACGACAGCTCGAAGCTGCTCCTTCTGGGAATACAGACCGTGATGGAGTGCGCTGTTACCGCTGCCGTGAAAGAGGGCACATAGCAAGGGAATGCACCGGATCCAGGCCTCCTGCGAGGCAGGGAAACGGGCTTCCGGGTCGTTCGTGAATGCACGACCGACCCAACCTTTGCTTCTTCCCTCTGCGTGCAGGGCAAGCACTTTTCTTGCCGATACGCACGCGCCGTTCATTCCGGTCACCATTGCCGGCCGTGAATTTTCGGCTTTGCTGGACACGGGCGCTAGCGCCTCGTTGTTCGGCGAACAGGTGTTGTCCCACTTGCAGAAGCACTCGGTGCGCTTACGGGACAGCCGAACGACATTCACCCTTGCGAAAGGCGTGGCCCATTCGGCAGGCGCTGCAAGGTTGACTGTCCGATGGGGAGATCGAATGAGACGCTGCCGTCTTATTCATCTTCCAGGGCTCAATGTTCCAGTGATTCTCGGTCGGGACTTTCTCCTTAAAACCGGTATCGTTGTGGACATTGCGAATGGCGGCTATCGTGATGGCCCATTTTGCCAACTCAAGCCGTTCATCAGCCCGCCGGCGCTTACCGTCGCCTTTGCGGCAGAAGCGTCGGAAACGTGCCCTACGCAGAGTTCGGGGCCAAGCCCCCGCTCACCGCATTTGCCCTCTCACAGTCCCCTTCGGGAACGAGAGGCGCGGCACGAACCGTGTCGTGCGCCAACTCCGGGGTCGTACCCTGGCG